CTGTGGTCAACCATCCCCTCGTGGGGTTAAATTATCCACATCCATTCCATTTATACAAGCATCCTTCTTTGTAAGTACAAAATGATACAGTTAAATACAGAATGAAAAGCTCACAGTTGTGAGTTGTTTTTGTCTAAGAACTCTGAACTACTCAGTAAGCAATGCAAAGCCAAAGAAGCAGTTTCTCTTTTTTTTTTTTTTATTAAGTCAATCCCACAGCTGGAAAATGAAACATCCTAGATTACATAAGTGACTTCAAAAAAACTCTAGAAAAAAATCTTTACAAATTTACATTTGTACAATACAAAAACTAACAGCTCATTGCATATAAATATTACATTTGGTCTGCCAACAAGTGGCATCAAAATCCCTGAAGTATTCATTTAAAGGGACCTGAGATAGCGGATGTGAAGATATGGGCATAAATATCACCTGAAAAAAAAAAAAAAAAAAAAATCAACAGAGAAAGTATATAATTCTAATAGCTTTGTGCATTCTTGGAGTATTGTAAGTCATCCAGAGCATGAACTGTAGAGCCTAAATGTGGTGAATGTCACTGCTTCAACACCAACGGTAGGGGCGGTACTTCTAAGCCAAGTCTGCTATAACAACTCATGTAGGAACAAAAAGCCTATATTGGTATTTCTATGGAAAAAACAACAACCAGACAGATTTCTGAATACATCTGAGCAGCCACTGCTCTCGGGAGGCGCTTCAAGGGGCAGAAAGGCGGCGCTGGGATTTTCCAGAGCAGCAGCCCCTGTCCCATCCTGCCCAGCACTGCCAATGCAAAACGCAACCCAAGAACGGAGCGACTGCCCTTAACTGTCCACGAGGTCACGCATTTTCCAGAGAGTTCCACATCTGGAAGTTCACCAATGTGGCTGCAGTTATTTCCCAGGAGCAGCAACTCTCCAACGCAGCACTAAGCTGCTCCGTTTTGAGTTCTTGTATCAGGTACCCACATCCATGCACATAAATGTATTTAAGCACCATTTGTATAATACTAGAGTTAAGGCTGTGACAGCAATTCCACTGGAAAGGTTCAGGGATCCATAGCACAGTTGTGTACGTTTGCTGGGGGGTATTAAACATGTACAAGCTCCCAACTGGTCTTCACGTTTCTAATACTAAAGACAACTTTTAGATTAGGTTTTGCAGGCTGTTACTGTACAGAAAGGAGTTTTTTTGTTTTTGTTTTTTTCCCCAAAGGTGCACAGCTAATATTTGAAAATTATCTATCGCACATGCGCAGTAATTTTCTATAATACATACTTGTAAGAACACAATGACAGCTCCCTGTGGTCCTAATAGGGATTTTTCCTAGGATTGGTAACTGCTCCTTCGGTCTATCCTGCAGTTTGTAATTCATAAAACTTGCCGTGTCGATTAAAAGAAGTAAATCAAGAACTGCAAGCACACAAACACGTCACTAAAACATGGAACTCGTGACACAGCGCAGCAACGCCCTGTGGGGCTGCCAAGACCTCCCTACACCAACAGCTACTCAGCCTTCCCCGACCTTCACCACCAAAGTTAAAGATGAGGTGGAAACCTTACATTCTTATCAGACATTAGAGATTCCAACCTTTTTTTCCTTATATTAGCAGTGTGTGATTTTGAGCAGATGTCAGACACGTGGGAGCAGTATTTCCAAATGCTTGCCAAGGTTATCTTGCTTTTTGAGGTCAGCAGAGCCTCCGCCACTGTCAAAAGCAACATATTTTAGTCTATCTTTCCATATTTTATAAATGAACACACTTTTTGTTAGCACACAACATCTGTTCTTCCCTTGGCTCGGCACGCTTTGTGCAGAAGTAGCAGCTGAGGAGTACATATGAGAGAACGTTCAGGGAAAACGAAGATGTGTAAAAGGTACAACATTTTATGCAACCGAAAATCATCTACAAATTACTTCTAAATGCTTCTGCTCAGCTGGTCCACCTGCGGGGTGGAGCTGCCTGGGACAAGGGAGTGACCTCTGCTTACTGCTCTGCAGCAAACTTCTACTACTGGAAAGCATAACCCAAGATTGTTCCAAGCCCTATGAAGCAAGCATAATGGGCCCTCTCTTTTTTAATAAAACTGGCAATGAGAGGGATGAGAAAGAGGAGAGACGATGGATGTGTCCCAGGCACCTCCAGCAGCTGGGGAATGGTGCTAACACAGAAAGAGGAAGATATGAAAAACACGGGAAGTGATGGGAAAGTTCACCTGCCAGACAAACTGGAGGCAAAAGAATGAAGTCTTACACTCTAACAGCCTAGCTGAAATAAAATTCATCGAGATACCATAGAATTCCAAAACTATCATAAATAACCTGGGGCAATAACAAGAAGATGAAGAAGAGGGGTGGAATACAACAAGTGGAAAAGCAAAAGATGACAGAAAATAAAAAGTGGGCATTCAGGCTAAAGAGATGAAACAGCATATCAGAAAACTGCAAAGAGAGCTTGGCATTTCATGCTCTAGTCGAGGAAAATATGGGACAGAGCACAGATCCATAGCCAGGAGAAATCCAAGAATATGGATTTTCAGCTCCATCAGAGCACAAAGCTGGGAGTGAGGATCCACTGCAGTGACCCTGGGACAGAAGCCCCTTTCCCAGGGCACCTCAGAGTGCCCTCACACCCCCAGCACTCAGAAGGGCCACACAGCTGAAGAACGCCTGGCCTCTCATGGCTAGAGAGAACCTTGCTTGCATCTTGCAGAACAGAAGCTCAAGAATTAACCAGCAGCAGCAGAGGAGCCCCAGGCCCACATGCATGCCTTGCTAGCCTTCAGGGATCTAATAACCAGGCCTGCCAAGCTTTTTCTTAGGTCCAATTTTGGAGTAGACAGCACAAGGCTTAAACCAGCTCACTGCTGCTGATGACCCGCAGGGCTTTCTGCAGCAGCAAGTGGCTCCTGGCAGAATCTGGATTTGAGAGAAAGCATCCAAGTTGCCATAACATTAAAATTATCCCATAGAATGAGGAGATGAGAAATCGTTTGCCCAACTCAGAGAAAGAATCCAGATATAAAACCGAGTAAAAATAACATCTCTAAACCCAAGTTATTTTTCATGCTTACGAAAAAGTTCTCATGCACAAAAAAGGTTTTTTTGTTTTCTTTTTAAATAAGCAATAGCTCTGTTGTTCCAGCACACCCTGCTGCCTAGCTCTTAACCATGTAACACGTATGATTAATACTTACGCCACAGCAAAGTGATGCTTCACTGTTATCTTCACAGTACTTCATTACATAGAAAAGATACATTTGAGAATATGTTTAATATTATCCTAACTGTTGCTAAAATACACAAATTATAAAATGATTTATCTGGAATCCACGTATTTATCTCCCCCCCAACCCCTACACAAAATAAATATGTAAGTGGATCTTCAGCCAGTCAGAAATATATGGAAAGCATTTCTTCTGTATTTCAAGATTTTCAGGCTTTAGAACAGAACCCATAGTGTTTACATTAGTTCAACAGGACTGATCTAAAAGAGGTACGGCTCTGACTATGAGCTGATGCACACATGCTATTCCAGGTTACCATATGTAGGAGGAGCCATCAGTCAAAGAAATAATACATTTTTTTTAATAAATATATAAGCATATATATATATATATATATGCATATATATATATATACATATATATATATATAAAATGAGAGAGAGATGATAGGACAGGTACTTATATTTTAAAGCCCAATACAGAGCTAGCAGTGCCTCTGCACTGTATTTCCACCAAGACACAACTGAATTAAGTTCAGAAACGGATTATGGCTGATTCAAAACAGTTGATAAAGTGTGATTTTTCTGCTGTACCATTAAGTCATATTAATGCTCTGAGAAATTTAGGATATACTTTCCTCCATCACAAAACTAAACCTTTGTTTTTTTTCAAGTCATTTTGTTTCTAACTAGAGGTTCTGGAAAGCGAGATAAAATAGATAGTGCTCAATATAGAAAGGCAAAAACTAAATTCTTTCTGCATCTGCAAATATACACGGGTCACTCTTTGCTGCCTGAGGTTTTCCAGAATCATTGACCAAGCCGTGCACAGAAGAACTTCAGGATACTGGATGAAAGTTTTTGTTTGTTAGTTTTGTTTTTAAAAAGAATATTGAAAAACTCCACCAAAAACATCCAATCTCTTTCTTTCCTTTTCTTCCTTCAGTGTAATCTAACTCACCCAACTGAGCTGGAACTGTCAGATTCTTTTAGACAACAGGAGAAAACCGAAGTTCCACATGCATTCCAAGCAGACCCTGCTGAGCAAAGAGGCTGCCACCACCAGCTCAGCCCACGCAAAGCGCCTGCTCCTGGCTGCTGGCTCTGCACCCACAGAAAAGCCTCTACATTTCCCTCGTATCATCACACACTGTACTACCACTACTACTACCACTACTACCAAAATGATTCTGGTTTCAAGTTAGCATTCTGCAGTATCACAACAATACAGTGCAACATGAATTCACTTCTGGAAGCTTGAGATACCAGAGTTCGTGTGGAGGATGGAACAGCGACTTCCCAGCACTGCCAGCCACCAGAGTTCCATTCTGCTTCCCCAGCAGCTTCAAGAGACAAACTAAAACAAACACAGATTTGCACTGAATAAGTGGCAGCAGAATTGTATGGGAAACAGTTGGCCTATCTGCACCAACAAACTGCCATCTGCTGAAAACGTTATGCTTCTGAAAACTCTGATAATTACTTAGATTTGTTTTCATTGTGTCAACAAAGATATCTTTACTACACAACTCGGTGAACAATTCCATCCTTCTACAGCTCCTTCTTGCCAGTACTTCAACACGTACTGAATAATAGCATCTATTTTCTTTTAAATTTCCAGTAGTTGTAAATAGAGGTAGCCAAGCTACTATTAAAAATCACGTTTTGCTTTGAAGAGGAGGAACCTTTCAAATGTTGAAGTTACCACTTAGCTGCACAATCTCTATTAATACTATAAAAATATGAGAGGACAAAAAGAAAATAGATGCAAATAACTTTTGCATTTGGCACCTTTTGTCTAGATATTCATACTTCTCAAGTATTCTCTTTTTAATAAAGTTAATGCACACATAGGACACACCACATCAAAGGTTTGCTACATATTTACAAGGCACCAACCCTTTGTCACTTTTTACACGAATGAAGAACCGATAGAAAGCACATCAGGACCCTCATGACTGTAGTATAGACATACTTCAGTTCAGCGCAATTCACGACTGTTTGGCCTGGGAAGATTAAAATAATCCAGATCCTTCTTACAATATAGAAACTGTAAACATTTTATAGCTGCCTTTAGGATTGGTGTATTGTGCAAAAGTTATAATTATTACTGTGTATAAGGGTTTATGGCAAAAACCACATAAAAACTCTGTAAGAAGGTGCTATTTCTATAATACAAAAACAAAACAAGGGAGAGAAGTCATAACCATGATTCAAAATGTCACGTTCTTATTGAGAAGCTGGAAGCCTCTTTAATGCGATGAACTCGTAGTGCGTGGGGAAGAATTTCTGTAATTTAAGGCCTCATGAATAAGGCTTGCTTTGACCAATGAAGTGTGGCGTCTAAAGTTTCAAAACAAACGCAAACCGACATAATGGAAAAGCACCACTGTGAAACGTGAGTGGAGTCCCCGCACAACTTGCTTGGTAGATTTTCTGGTAAAATCCCTGCAGTAGAAGGCCATTGAAGTTCTTTTTAAAATTGTTCCAAAGTTTTTCATCTGTCAATAATTCCATCCCATGAGATGGCTGACCCTGGCTTTTTCTGTCATTTTCCGCACCCTGCCTGACCTGGAAGTACCAAGGTTCAAAGGATCCTCGGTGTGCACAAAATTGTCATTATCAGAATCGTCGTTATAGAGCACAGTTCTTCTACCCTCATTCCTCGTTCTGATTCGAGGTGCTCTACTGAATCGGCCTCCAAACACATTTTCACCAAATTGTCCTCCAAACAGAGTTTCAAATTCGTCATCTGTAATTCGGGCACGTTTGGCTCTGGTGGCTCCTCGTGAGGCTCCTCTGCCTCCTCGGCCTCTTCTTCCACCCCTGCCACCACCTCTTCTTCCTCTGCCACAGCCTCTTCCACCTCTACCGCCTCTTCCCCCTCTGCTCCATCTCCCCCACCTTCCCCACCTACCCCTCCTCCCTGTCCCTCTGCTCTGCCAGGTCCTTTTCCCACTGGTGAATTTTCTTTTGATTTTTCTTTTGGGTTTTTTGGATTGCACAACTTTGCTGTAGTCATGGTCTCCATCAATGTAATCCTGATCTGTTCTAGATGTTGATTCAGAGTCTGAATCAGAGCCACTTCTACTTTCAGAACTTGAACTAGATCCTGATTCCCCACTTTCTGATGAAGACAAACCAGATTTTTCCTTTAATTCTCTTTTTTCTTCTTCCTCTGCCTCTCCCTCCTCTAGATGCTCATCTTCTGATGCACTTATTAGCTTCCTCTTCACTCCTGTCCGAGGTTCTCTGCCATCACCATTTGTAAGTGGTCCATCAGGAGAGTGATCTAAGCAAACACAAAATTATCCAGTTATCATCATAATCGTGTCTGAGCTAAACTGGGCCACAGAAACTGGGATTCACCTCATATGTCTTTGTGGCAAGCTCTGGAGATGATCCAACTCTGAGCTAGCCACCAGAGATGACCTTTATGTTTTGTGTATGCAAACTGGTGCTCTAAGAGGAAAATTTATCAGATCAGAAGTAAATACAGTACACCACATACTGAAGTAAAGACTGTAGACTCTCTTGACTAAGAGTCCAGTACAAATCCACTCAATAAAAGGAGAACACAGTGACATGCTTGTACACAAATGTCTAATAGCTTAGACAAATCCTACCAATAGTGTCAAGAAAAAAAACACACCAAAATCTATTTAAAACTCCCAAAATATACATTGAAACAACAGCCTGCAAGTAGTACTTGTTTCCCATCAAACACAAGTTCTCAAAAGGCTTTGTTTAGGGAGCATTTATGGCAAACAGTTTCAGGACAATAAACAAGCCCAAATTGCTCACTGGGATTTCTGAATGCCTTGAGTTAAAAACATTGCAAAGCGCTTTGCTGTCTTGGGACCAAATTAGTTTTTAAGGTTACTCTTCATCATCAGGTTTGTAAATATCTTCTTTCACACTGGATATAAAAAACTCATCTGCCATACAAAGTACTGCTACAGCACAGTAGCATGGACTTGAGAAAGACTCCAGAAATTTCAACTAATGCTCATTCAATGCCTACCTCAGTGAAAGTTCTGATTGATGTGCCCCAAAGACAAAATAGTGAAGGTTTCAAACTGTTTCCACTTCCAATTATAACACCTTATTTCAAATACAATAAAAAATATATTTTTAAAATTGGAATTCTTTTATTTATCTTTGGTTTCAACTTGATTACTAAAAGGATAAGGTTTTGGGGTGGAAATTCTTTCAGGTTTTTGTTTGTTTTTTTTTTTTGCCTTTTTGTCACTCTTGAAGAAATTGTACTTCCCAAGACTTTTAAAAGCAATGAAGTTTTTCCATCAGGAGAAATTTTAAAGGACTCCACTGAATTACATGTAGCATTATGTGCATGCCACCATTCAGACAACAAGAACTGTAAATAATAAGCTAAATTACTTTGAGTATGGGTTGGGGCTACCATATATAAGACCCACACAAGAATACCATAAGATCAACCAGAAGCACCAACTTCCAGTTCTAGTGAAATCAGTCATGGAAAGAATAGAAAAGTTATGTCCCACCTTGTTTCACTGGTGTCACTTTACTTCTGATTGGTTTAATTTTCCCTGGATCAATGGTATTTCCACTTCGATTCTGTGCATTTGAGCCTGAGGAAGACGGCTGGACTTCCACTTCTTCACCAGTGGCTGAACCCAGAGGTTCCTCTGTTGTATCTGAAACTTAAAATGGGATACCACTCGCTCAATAGATGATCTTTCATCCTCTATTTATACATTTGAAATGAAGTTCTGTAGTTAGTCAGTGGCCTAAAAGTCAGGAGGTTAGTCTCACCAAGCTGCTTCTCCAGTCAAGAAGAGACATAGATTCTTCCACAGTGTAACCCAAAGTAACTTAATGTATTTGTAGTTGCTATATGAAGGAAGCCTATGTACAGGAAGTCCAAGCTCAACTAATTCTTAGCAAGGACAGGCCAAGTTACCTTATTCTCTGAACCTTACCAATAACTTACCAACAAACAGAGGGTCATATCCTGTTAATGTGATCTACAGACCACGTATTTACAAGACTTTGCTACTTGCTTTTTCAACAGGTAAGTTTTGCATGTGTCTCATGAATATAATACTTCAACTGAATATTATATATCCTTCAGCTTTTTCATCATTCTGCAGACAAGCTGCTGAAAGGATGCATATTAGAAAACTTCTTACCATGAGATGAAACTGAAGAGCTGGTCCTAGTCAAAGGCAATGAGGTATTCAGGTTGGTTTTAGGTTGAATCTTCATTTGCTTCTGTTTCCCTTTTGGACTGAAGACACAGAACACCCCAAAGAGATAAAACTACTTATACCAAAGGAATCAAAGATGACAACTTTCCCTGCAAGATGTCTTGTTTGTTTTTTTTTTGTTTTGTTTGTTTTTTTTTTGTTTTGTTTTTGGTTTTGGTTTTTTTGTTTGTTTGTTTGTTTTCGCATGTAAGTCATAACACTAATGATCTTTTTCCCCTTGGTGCCTGCAAAGATGTAATAACACTAAACTTACTTACAATATCCTGTTCAGCAAAGGCATTTGAGCTTTTAAGTGCAAGGCATGTGAGGGTTCTTTTTTTTTTTTTCATCTCACCTTTTCAAACTGGAATACTCAGTTTTCATAGATAATGTGTCATACAGAAGTCAATGAAGTGTTTACACAGTATTTTTTCAACCTTTATGAGACAAGGGCAAAAATAAATTTGGTTTTCCATTTTATCCAGAGGGATTACTTCTAATTCCATAGACTTAGCAGAATTGGGCACAAACATGAAGTGAGCATGGGATTTGTGCTCATGATTTTACCATCCTAAAGAACAACTGTATCAAGAAACAAGCAATACCATTACTGGCTGCAAAGGTTTGTCTACTACCATTATGTTGTGTCTCAAATGATACTGATAGCACATCTCATTAGCATTATGTTACCTAGAGGCTCTGCTAGTTGATGGTGAACTGCTGCTGCTTCTTAGTCGTTTTCGGTACCGGGGCCTTTTCCTCTTCTGGCATTGCATTGCTGACTTGTACTCAGAGATGATATTCTTCATATGATTTTCAAATAAGGCAGATAGTCGAAGTGTCATGCTGTAAATCTGGGGTGAGAAAGCATGGCCATACTTATCAGAACTTCATAAAATAGAAAATCAGCAAAAAAGTATAAAAAACTGCCTAGACATCAGCTTCTCAGTGCAAAAGAAAAGTTCATGGTGACTTCAACTACAAAGCTCTTTACAGATAATTTCCATTCATGAGATAATTTTATTCTTATGACAGAAAGCGTTTATGCTCCGTTCTTAATCACCATAAAGCATGGAAGCAATCCATGAAATAACTTGAAGTACCAAAGGAAAAAATAAAACAACAGCAACTTTGTTGTCCCCTCATCTAAGCTTTTGGCTGTAATTCCCTCGTGAAGAGTCCTCACACTCATCCCTTTAGAGCTGCAGAGAAAAGCTACCTGAAGCGTCTTCGCTCCTGATTTTTACAAGTCAGATATCAAAATCTTTAAGCTATTTCCCTGTCTTCTTTCTAGACCACACCTCTGGCTATCCTCATTCCTAAATTCACTCATGTCTCTCTGTATTTCAGACAATTTACTTCTGTTCAAAATTTTACTTAGAATGTTTTTCACTTATAATTGTGTAAACTCATAGTTCAAACTCAGCATATACAAAAGCAAAATTTCTTTTCTTTCTCATGTCTATACTCCTCTGTTGCATACAGTCTTATGGATGTCACATAAATACCATCAAGACAACAGGATCAATGTCTTATACCTCTTCCCATTTCTTGCAGTCTTTCTGAATACCAAACTTCTTTGACAAGGAGTTTTCTTTCCATTCACACAACTTAATTCCTGTCCCCTGGCTCTTACATTGCAGCAATGTCTCCTTAGCTCTGGCATGTACTGTCCTGCCCTTCTTGCCTCCACTTGGGATGCTGTTGCCAAGACAGTAAAACAGACTAGAAAACCTCAGGATGTTGACACACATTTGGTAGCAGATGAACCTACAGTGGCAGAAGGCCCAGCTGTGTGCCCCAGCCCTCCCACAACGATCATCCCACTGAGGCACTTCACAGCATTTAAGCAAATGGATATTGATGGACCACTTTATTAAAGTAATTTGGGAGTTGACTCACAAGCTGTTCAGTTATAAATACACAGGGAAGTTTCCCAGGGGGTGCACAGCAGTAAATAATGCACACCAAGCTTAATTTGACGTCAAGCTCATATAAAACACCCTCAAATCACCTGTCTTGTTGTGACTCTCCACTAATATTTTCTCAACTCAAGCAAGCAAAAATAACTAGTCTATCTTCAGAGCTTACCCCAACCCACCTTTCATCCTTCACGTACTGTATTCATGCAAGGCCCAGGTCTTTGTAAAGAAGAAATTTAAATTTTTACTTACTCGAGACTTTTTATTAGGAGTGTAAGCTTTAGAGTTGCAGAATATTAAACGAATATCTTTGTAGAATTCCAAGGGACTAGTGTAATTCCCTGCTTCCAAGGTTTCTTTCACAGTGCTGAAGTCCATAGGAGTGTCAACAATATCTCGGTAATCCTACGAGAACATTCAAGAATTAATAAAAGCTGATAATAACAATGTCTATGGCAGACAATTGAGAACATCTACATTGTCATCCACAACAATGGCTGTTATGTAATTATTTTCACTTAGGACAGAGATTTGAGAGTTACTGCAGATAATTCTCTGAAAATGTTGGTGCATTGAACATGATCAATTCCAGCTAATAAGAGAGACATTAGAAACATGTTCAGTGTGGAACTTTGTCAAAGGATGAACATCAGCTTGTTAAAACTTTGAGTATGGAAGTCGCACTTACAGGATAGGAGAAGAGGTCAACTGGCTGTCTAAAAGGCTCAGAGTCCTCTCTTTCATAAATCAGGTTTAACAACTGCTTGCATTGCTCTTTCCAAGCGTCAGGACTTCTATTCACAGGCTGTCTTTTTATTCGTCTTCTTACCTGCTGGGAAACAGATACGTTTAATCATCTTTCAAAATATTCAGAATTTCCATTTTAAGTTCTTATTAATTTACCAGTGTTCTGATTTGAAATAGATTTTCATAATTAAAAGCAGAACTGCAAGAAGTTAAAGCACAGCTAATGCTTTAATAAACAACAATAAGCAGAATGCAAAATGCAGAAATATGCTTTTTCTGGCAACAGACAATTACTCAAATCCATATGAAGCACACAGTATTTCAGATTCAAGCCTGCTATTGATGTCATTTTTCCCTCAGTTCTGATTGCAAACTGAACTTGTTCTAGATATCCTTCAGATCAAACAAACAAACAAGATTCTTCAGCAATTAAATTTTCCTGGACAACAACATTCTTAATTTGGCAGTACTGACATACAACTGAATTCACACTGTTTGAACTACAGACTATAGGCTGATGAAAGATTTAAACTATTTCAGAACTAATCGACTATTTTAGTACCTGTTCTACCTGCCTTCATAAGCTAAATCAACCAGAAAGATCTACTCACTCGTCGTTTTCCAGAGGAAGTTCCTGGAGCATCTGAATCTACATCTACTTCTGCCACCTAAAGGAAAAGGTGATGATTACAAACATGAAAGCTTGTGTGCACACAGAGCAATTGAAACAAGCAGGGTTACAACTAAATAACAGCTAATACAATTACAAACTACTCCAATGAAAAGACAGTTTTGAGCAAAACAGAAAACAGTTTTAAATCAGAAATTACATAACTTCAGGGTAGAATGTAGAAAAAAAGGTAGAAAATCCACTCTTTTCCGACCCAAATTTGCTTCCATAGAAATCACACGTAAGTATCTGAGAAATATTAGTGGCTTGGTTCAGTCCTTGAGAATTCAGCTAAGTCTCATTCTTGCTGAGCTATATACCTCTGCCTAAATGTTCACGCCATGAGCAGCTGTACTGAGTTTATTCTGACTTCACGTAGTCTCTTACATTAAATTCTGCAATTTTTTCCAGATACTCAACTTAAAAATGTCAGCTCTCACAATCATACTTAATGGTCTTACCTCTTCCTCTTCATCAGTACTGCTCAGATCTTCTGCTTTCACCTTATTATATATATCTAATATATCCGTACAACTCTGATCCCTGCAGAGCAATAAAAAAAGTCAAAATACGTAAGTGAATTTCTTAGAAACTCAAGACATCAGGTCTACGAAGATGACAAAAAAATGCCTACCCAATGAAACGAAGTAACACATCTGTTACAATTTTGGCTGCTTTGACTATAGGACTGTCTGGCTCATTGAAAGTCCTGGCATTGTGTTCAATGTATCGTACCTCCCACATCAGTGCAGAGATTCTCCTGAAACAAAAACAACAAAAAAAATGAAAGGGATGGAGTGGAAGGGGTACACCATTCACCTTCTGATTTCAGTAGATTTACAGAGTTAAAAAGAACAATAATAATAATAAAAATTGAGTAATTCAAGTACATAGGTTGCCAGAGACAGAGGTAAGTGGTTTCTGTTCTGCTTGCTTCTGCTTACTGCCCCATTAAGTATGCAGGTTCAGGTAACTTTGTGGAGGAAAGATATCCCTCTTCAAATCAGCAATGAATGGAAAGAAAAGAGGAGACAAACCTACTGAAGAAGATTACTGTCCCCTCCCAGATAGAGAAAACCTTGCAGATAAAGTGGTCCCCCAGGGAAAAGAGCATTATAGAATAAGATATTAGCTATAACCATGTTAACTGAAAAAACTAAGACTTCCAGCTTACTTAGCCCAACTTACTTAGCCCAATTCTAGCAAACACAGCACTAGAAAAGTATCTGGTCCAAAGGCAGCAAAAATACAGATCAAATATAGTCTACCTACAATGCACCCAGGGACTAAGACTCTGAATGTGTAACAAAAAGGGCACTCCAGATCCAGACATATCAGCTTTTGCCTTAACAGCGTGGCCAAAATAAATGATCATATAGCAAAGGCTTACTTTCTACAAAGTCAAACAGAATCTCACTGTATGCTTTCAGTTTACCAAACGTTGCCTAAATAGCACTGCATGTTATTTAGCTAAATATATTTTGCTCAAATAGTCCACAGAAAATGTAGATTACAAATAAGTGAAAAACAAACTGACCTATAAAACCTGTTTTCAAGTCTCCTCCTGATTGTGGTGAGGTCAGTGGGATAAGCAACTACAGTGCAATACATGGGATAGGCACTAAGGTCCACTGGAACAGCAAAGGGATTAGAAATGTCTGAAAGACAAAAGGTCAAAGTAATTCAGATGCCTCAGCTGATACCAGCAAGAAAGTTACAAAATAAGAAGATGCCTTATAATAGTTTCTGTGTTTCCTTTCTAAGAACTCAGCAAAAGTAATACATGGACACCACATGACATTTAACAGACTCTTTTCAATTACTTAGCTGAGAACATTTGAAATACTTCATGCCAATTCCACCTCATCTAGCATTCAGTCACGTGGAGCCATGCTGACGTCCTTAAAACTTCCACCTTTTCTCTCCAAACATACCAAGAGAAAGAAGTTGCTCAATCCCCCGAATTACTCGCTCACATTCTTCATCTCTGGAATGGGCCCCCCATTCTCCTTCCTGGGGTTTGTAGAGAAGAGCCGTCAGCTCATCTGGAGTCACAGGGACTCCAGCACCAACCTCCTCTGGATAAGCAGCTAAATATGAAGAATTGAACAGTGAGCACTAGCAGTGACACAAAACTATTTTCTTTACATACGGATGTGAATTCAAAACACGCTTACTTCCTTCTGGAATTGGTTCCATGTCCCATGGACTCATTTTCTCTCTTTCATTATTGTCCCAGCTTTTAAAAATAAAAATAAAATACATTCAAATACATAAACTAAAGCATTTAATTTTTCATCTGGCTTAATATAACAACAAATATTTTTCCTCCCATGCGTTCACAGTAATTCTATTTATGCTAGAAGAGTTGCTTTAAGAATAAGATCATCATTAAATACATGAAAACAAAGCAGCTTATTACGTATTTAAATGGAAAAAAAGGATCCATGTTCCTGAAGTACACACGGAGCATATCAATGTGTCAAACATTGCAACTATGTAAGTACTTACTGAACAGAGTAGCACTGGAAGGAACTATCAGGGTATTCTGCCTGAAAAGGCTGCTGACTCTCCACAGTTCCAAACCACCAAGCATCATCTATTATACTGCGAAATCTATCCCCTGCAAGGAAGAGGATTTTTGCAGAATTTATCATTTCTCTTCTCTGTTATAGGAATTGTAGTAAACATCAAATAACATTTCCAATGATCACTATAGTATCAAGTGTGGCTGGGTCTTTTCACATTGTGTTACAAAGACGCTGCACATCATCTTCCAAACACTTCCCCACAAATCACAAGCCTTGTTCTAAGAAGTCAGGCTGTGGGAATGCTACAGGAATATCAGAGAGTTACAAAACACAAGATTTGTAAATTAATTACAAAATAAAACTTGTAATCTTCTAAAATCTTTATCACAAAGTAAAGCTATTAGAGTATATAGTAAAATTATTTTTACATTAGGATAATCACTGCTTGAAAAAGAGTTTGTATACTTAAAAGTTAGAATTTGTTGTGATGTCAGCACTTCTTCCCCCATTTCAATGTCTGAAATATACGATATTCAGAGAAAATCAAAAGAACACAACCACCAAATTTTAACCTATTAAGCAAGCAAAGAAACTCTGCAAACATATTGAAGTGGAAGTCGTTACCTATTTGCCAGTTCCTCTCTTTGGCTTCATTATAAAACTGATGCAGCACAAGGAAGTCAATAACATCTGGCATATCATGATACCTTCGTGAAATAGAAAAATATTATTTCTGTTACCCACAAGCATTGTACCATACGTACAATACAGTCTCCTAACACAAAAATTCATGCATTATTATGCGAAATGTGAAAAGAAAATGAATTCATGCCATCATATCTTGAAAGAGAAGAAAAAAAATGGTGGAAGCTTCTAAGGCTCAATACAATTTCTTAAAGAATACCATCAGATTTTAAGTTACTCACTTAATGGAAAATGATTCTCCTGTCATTTTGCCTGTGATTGGATCTAGGAATGCAAGCTTCAAGCAGCAAAGTGTAGGGGGCCCAACTTCATATTTAATTCCTACAGTCTTCACAAATTCTTGTTCCTATTAACCAACATGCACAGAACAATATTATTTTAACATGTTTACAATAGGAACATCCACATTAAAGTACCAGACCTATAAACAATAAACAAATGTTCCCATTTTGCAGCCCAGGTAATTTCACCCATAAAAGTTTTCCTTACCAAAAACTAGAAATTAATCACAGTGTCCTTAAAAAGAAAACTAAAAATAAAAGATGTTCACAAATACACCGAGGCACTGAGCAAGATGCCCACAACTCATTTAATTTCTGTGAGAAGACTTTAAGGCACACTATTTTCTGTTTCAACCACACTGATGGCACCAAGGGTTATTCCTGACTAAAGCCAAGGCCTCTCACCGTTGTGAAGCAATGTACAGGGAAGGAAAAGGAAACTCTTCCTTCTGGAGTGGAAATTCAATATTAGCACTGTACAATCACATCTTGTCAACCATGAGCAGGTTTTAAGATGTGTATCCTAAGTGAAATAGCATTTCTTTATTCTTTGAGAGGTATCCTAGGGATGTCTTTGAAGATTACAGGTGGAATCACTCAGTACCTAGCACTAACATCAGAATATACTTCCAGTAAAGCAATTATTTTCATATGTATATGAATATTGGCACTTATGTATGCTCTTTGCTTGATATGAAATCTAAATAAAACAAAACACAATATGAAAATACTGAGCATTTGGTGTCACTGGACTCAGTAACTCAAAGTAAAAAGGTTGAGAAAAAAACAGAAGAACTACATAAGTATAATACCTAGCCAAACAATCTATAACACTTTTACTCTGTCAAAACATGTTGTAATATTATGTCAAGCTCTTCCAACAATTACCATACACAATTATATACTTAACTATATCTTGTTCAAGGAAGCTTATGCATGCATTAAGTTATTTACTTGTTGCAATCACATTTAAAACAGTGACACCACCTATATGTTCAGGTCATTTGCAGAGCATTGATAGAACTATAAGCATCTTTTGTGGGGTGGATACTGCTTGAATGAGAGTTAAGAAGGAAAAAAAAGAAAAACAAATGCAAAAGGGACCTCTGGCAGTCATCTAGTCCAACACTCTTTCATACTGGCTTGTAATGCCAAGTTAACACTACAGAAGCATTCAGCACTTTGAAGTATCCCTTAAACTTACCCTGAGTTCCATTTTGTTCCATGGTTGTTTTTGCATGTTAATACTGTAAATTTTTGCTTTTCTTACTGCCCGCACATAAGCTTCATGGCCTTGCCTGAAGTATATGATCTAAAATGAGAATTAAAAAAAAAGTTTATTTTACTGATAGTTTTGTTCCTGTATAGACTTTCAAAATTGAGATCATTACAAAGCACAGAGATTTGTTTGAAAATGCACAAACAATTCTTCTTTCTATTCAGAAATTGCATATACACATAAAGGGACATGGGACAGCTATCTGTAAACATCTGGTTCCTTCAGTCAGCTATCTTAACCATGAGTCACTGAAAGCTACATTTAATAGTGCCAACCAAACAGAAGTTCATCAGCCTAGATGGGAATTTAAAGACTGCTACAGTTGGAATTACCTCATCTCCCATTTGCGGGACAAAAGGTGAGCGGCGCGGTATGGTGTCCAAGATCCACTGCGGGGCCAGCCACTCCTCACTGGGCTCCCCTTCCATTGAAAGCAGTCCACTTGGTTTCTTAAATATATTAAATTTAGAGCACAAGCTGCAGTTACTGTGGCAGAGTATACAACAACAGATTATAAAGCATGATATAAAGATAACTATATATAAGGGCAAAGCTACTCTGGAACCTTCCAAAAATCTCAACTAACTCATGGGTGGTAAGAAACGTTCATTATCAATAAAACAAAAGATTAAGATGTTCATAAATAGACCAGGTTTCTTTAAAAATACACTGTTGGTCTTCTTTAACGATTATTAAGAAAAAAACACAAACAGTTAAAGAAAAAAACATGTATTTATAAAGTCAAAAAGGCCCTCATAAATTAAAAATGCCAACCTTTTTTCTAGGTTGTTTTAGTTTCCTTCGTTTTTGCTCCACTCCTTTTGTTCCCTTCACATTTTCATCTTCAGAACTACTACAGATTTTCCGAGCCGCCTGCCTCGTTTGTCTCTTTGGAGGCTGGAGATTAATTCCAGCATCAGCTGTCCAGTCAGAATATTCACTTGATGAATCACTGTAGATAACATAAAATTGTAAGAAAGAAAACAGCACTTCAGTTCTCACACAATGGAATGAAAGGTCCAATCCTTCAACCCGTTTTTCTGGTCATGTGAAACAGACGTCAGGATTAGGGCGCATTTCCATTCTCTTAAAGAACAGCTAAGTGATATCTTAGCAGATCATTTTAACGATTGAAAATTGCTGGTAAATCTAGGAATTCTGTTTGGTACTTATTTTCATACTAATTGACTCATTGATTCATAGACCGACTTTATAAAAACTGATTTAATTGCATGAAAATAATCAGAAAATTAGAGCACTCTTAAAAATACATTTCCAATTCTAACACCCAAATAAGACTCGCAGTATTAGCTCACATCTCTTCCAGTCATAAAAGCACAGCATTAAGAAAAGCGACTGTGGAACTTGTACACCAAGACATATTGACAATGAAAAAATTAACTACTGAAACCACTAAATGGCATCAATTTTTCAATAATTTATTGGTTTAAATGGGGATTTTCATAGAAACAAAATTTCTTTCAAAGTCTTTCAAATCTTTCAAAATTGTTTTTCAATTCCAAAAATAAAAAGGAAATGCTTTAAGTGGGATTAGAAAAGGAGGCACTCTTCAAAAACTTTCTCATACATATTGAAGTTACCATATTAAAATCACTCAAGTATACACAAGTATTTACTTGATAAGACTCTGGAATTTTTTGTTGTTAACATTTTAAACTACTTTAGTTTAGGACAGTTCGCTTCAATCTGTCATAGGGTATCAACAAATCAGTATCTTTACAAGGTAACTCAGTAACACTTCTTCCTGAACTTGCAATCTTTCACAATATCAAAACAAATGTCTGACTTATCTTACTCAAATTACTTAATATAATAAAGATGCTAATAAATGTACCTGGAGCTGCTGTCACTTTGCCATGTTGCCACAGGATCATCCACAGATGCATCACTTGTGCCAACTGTCTCATCTTCCTGCATTAAAAACAAAAGGTAAAACTTTGCCTCAAAGTGAAACATGTACCATTTTTATTTGCAAGTTACACGGTCTGTTTCACTTGAGGAAGCTTTGCAGTTAAGGGCTAATTTAAATAATTCCACCATTTCTTACTTAATATTATATTACATATGTAATTCCTGGTGTGAATTTTAACAGTACTTGTACCACAGAATGAGGTTGTATTTAAGTGTTTGATTAATAAATTTTGGTGTCATCTGTCCTTATAGCTATTCTGTATGTTCAGTGCATTCACAATTTGCAGTCTCTTTTTACTTTACACCTACTGAGAAAAAGTTATGTTTAATCTGGTATATTTTAAGTTCTTCTATTGACATATCAATGAATAATACCAACATCTCTTTCAACAACACTTTACAGATGCAGATGAAATTAAAGCACTGAATCTGTCCTAGAATATATGCACAGCATCTGACTGTCCAAAACTGTAAGTGGTTTAACCCAATCCAGTTAAAATTACTTGAAAATATTTCGGATTTCCAAAAATACACAACCTGTGTATTTAAGCTAGTTTTGAGCTTTGAATATTGTACTAGCACGGAGGTAAATGATCCTCCTCTCTCCAAGATTAACATGCTACAGTAACACCACAGAGCCAAAGGATTCAACAGTTTGAGCGTTATTTTTTAAAGTGCAGAAACTTTTGAGCCCTAGCAGTGACAGTGACAGTCTGTGAACCAGGAACATGTGGAGGAATCATTGACATATCAGACCTCTGAGGAGCTGTCTGACTCTTCCCGTGCACGTGAGTTTTGACTTGCTCCTTGCTGACTGTGCTCTATCGTGGAGCGGGTCTGATACGCGTGCTGGCGTTTGCGCTGGTTCCTTCTCAAAGATCTTCCACTTCCAGGTTGGTAATCATTCTTTTATCACGAGAGGGGAGATAAAAAGAAAACGAGTACATATGTAGTAATGAATGATGGAGTTAAAAGATGCTTTTTACAGTGACTTTTTACAGACATTTTTTAGAGACATAAGTTCTATCCCACCTACAAATGCCAACCAGAAATTTTTAGAATTAGAATTGAAAAGACATCTTTTAGAGACTCGTGGTTGCTCATTTCAGCATATGTTGGTTTGTGTTTTTTTTTCAGTTGGATGGTTTGTGTTTGTTTGTTTAATATCAACACTACTTTTTAAAGTATCTTTCTTTCTAAGAAGGACTTCTATGATGAAATATAGTTTTTCTAAAACAATACCTGCAGCCTCTGGATAAGACAAAAGTTGGCCACTTAACAGGTGGCACCTCTAATTTCTCCTAATTTCTCCTAATTTCTGTAAGTCAAGCTGAGCATTTACCATGCTACTGCTCTTTTGCTTTCCCAGAATCATCCTACAACTGAAGCCTTATGCACACAGATTTACCATTGTTTTTTTGCACGCCACAGTATAAAAACAGACAAGTTACAGAGAAAAGCAGAAGAGCCAAAGTAACAATTAGCCCTATTGATCTTCTAAATCAATTCCTTTCATTTTATTTTTTAGCTCAGTTCTCAGAACTGTTTGATACCCAGGTTTCTCACTTCTGGTGAATTAACTTACCCGTTGTAAGGTATGGGATGGCTTTCTCTTCTTTTCAACAGTGTATAAACCAATTTCAATTTCACCTTTGGCAGCTCGACATTCTTCCTGGACCCTAATTATACGCAGGAGACATCTGTTTTATTCATTATATCATTATATATTCAACAGTCTCTATAAATTAAAATACTTTTGTGCCTGTTGCCACAAGAAATCTGAGCACAGGTCCTCCAAACAGTGTTTACATACACTTCACTCCAAGGAAACTTAAATGTATTACAATTAGTGTGGGGTTTGTTTGTCTTTAAACAAACCTTCAGCAAGACAGAAGAATCAGAAAATTGAAATTAAAAAGAAGGAGCCACTGAAAAAAGACTTAATTGAAAAGAGAAGGAATTAGTATTCTTAAGCCTTCAGCAGAAGCTACCACTCTGATCCTACTATCCGAATTTCCAAACAAATCCCCAGAAACCTGAAATTATTTCCAAAAAATCATTTTTTAAAACCTACACTAGGTGTATGGAAGAATCACTAAACATCGTACAATTTAATCTTCTTTTCCTATCTCATTTGGCCTCTTACCTGCTGATGCCTGGAGGAAGCTCATTCACCACTACTCTTCTGCTCCATGCCATGAGATCTCTCTCTGTTGCCATTTGACTTCGGGGAGCATTGTGATGCATTTGCCGGACCCCTTCAATCTGACCGCTTCTCCGGAGACCAACGTTTGGTGGAGATGCAATTTCCAAGGCTGGACTTCGAAGAGCTGAGGGGGTAAAAAAGATTTTTCTTCACTTCTATGACCAATCAATAAAACCCAAAATTTGAAGCTTAAAGATTGCAAAGCGTCTTTATGGAACACTAATTAGATGTCAGGTGGCTTTGTCTTTTGCTTCAGATGAAGGTTTTTACATATTGGCCATAGGCTACTGCAGATGTATTTGTTTTAGTAATATCACTGTGGCTTGCAATACCTTAGAGTTGTCTGTGGGAAGCAGAGAACACAACTATAAGAAAAATTGTAAAGGCATTTAAGCGACCCTCAAATCCAAACCTTGTCTTCTGTTTAAAGGCTTTTAAGTCACGAGTCTTAAATTCTGTGGTAGAAGAAAAGAGATTATCAACTAAAATAACAGATTGCTGCAAGGTTTAACATGTCTCTTGTGCCTATACCTGTATTTGCAATGCTTACTTTGTGTGCACAGGCACACTTTTCATCAGGTGGCACAACAGTGCAGTGCTACACACTCAGAAGAAAACAGAGACTGAAATTTCACGGTAGCAAGAAGAAAATACCACTGACAAAATCAGAATTGCTGCTGTCACTGCCTTAATTTATCTCGTTATTTGGGAAAGCACCGACAATTTCTACATGCTTAAGTATGGCTAACAGCATGAGAAAACTGAATTTACAACTGTACTACCCTGTATAGAGATATTCAGCTATTAAAATATCCATCACTTCCTGTATATTCTGACTCACACAAATGGGTCAGTTCATGTGGGAAAAACATTGACAGTGCAAGTTCTGCAAAGTAACTACATTCATTTCTACTGCCTCACATACAGAAACTCCCCCTCACACAAATACAGGGGCATTTGTACATATTTTGCCAATACAACTGAAAACTGTGATGACACATCTGCCTATCATAAGGAGCAGAAAGGACTTCCTGTGAATTGAAGCTGCCTGCTAGGCCACATTCATGACAACACCAATCCAGATCAAAGCAAAAGTCTATTTTATGCAGTTTCCAGTAATATTTTTCCTATTCCTTCTTGAATTTAAACTCTAAAACTAACAATTTAAGATTTGCCAGGAAGCTCACATATGAAAGTATAATCAGTCATTTAACCTAAAATTAATCTATTAGTGATGTGAATTTTTTAAAAGCTCAGGATGATTTGCAGCAGAAGTCCACAGCATCTGTTCTGTTCTGACAACTGCACTCAGTCAGCTGCTTCACAGTCAGCTGTTCATATCTGACTTTGTTTTAAATTTTTAATCACTTTGCATATTAAAACTACAGTCACAATAGCAGAACACTCACTAGGAGAACAATCTCAAGCTTTCTCAGGAAACATTAAGACAGAGCAGACATGTTTGTTTTATAAACACTGATGCTCAGCTTTAGCATTTATTCTGCACAAGGAAGCCATTAGCCTGTCACAACGTTGTATTCCATTGGCATTCTCTAATTACATGCTGTTAACTTGACATTATTCAGCTAGAAAGTATCATCTCCATAGTGATTGACATCGAGACAATATAGGGAACTTTATTTTTAGAAACAATTTATACTAGAATTAGCACATTAACAGTTCTAAGTAATCAGATAATGTCCAGTTAGTAAGTGATTGACTGCACCTTCAACATTTAATTCCTTTGACAGTATTAGCAGGTGCCCCAGACAGGTTAATAAAATGTGCAAGAACAAGAGAAAGTGTTGTGAAAGACATTGCCCTAAAACACAAAAACTTGAACACATTTTGATTAGTACCTTACTGTTCTTTGCTTAAAGAAATGACAGCGGAAAAGAGGGGACGCTTACCTCCATTAACAGAGTGAGATCTATTGAGTGGAGGGTTTGGAAGAGTTTCTCCTTCATTGATTAGTCTCAGATCCTGCTCCCTTTGTAGCTCTCTGATCATCCCATCAAGGATACTTTCATCTTGGTCATTAGTTTGCTGTCCAATGACTTGTTCAACTACTTCACCATCACCTTAACAAGAACAGGGTCATGACTGCTTACAAAATGTTTAATTTCTGATTTATAAACACTATAGAAACAATCACATTTTAAGTTGTGCTGTCTGCCCTGCAAAACATCTGATTACAGGCCGTCTTTCTGCTCTCAGAATGGAAGCAAAGTTTAAAAGATTATCTGCAAGAAAAACCTATACTTACAGACTCGCACATAAAATACAAATAAGAACTTGGTAACAACAGAAAGAAATTATACTTCAGTAGGTGACAGTGGAAGACCTCTATCAGAGATCAGCATTTTTCAAAGCCTGTCTTACTTTCCTTGCTTCCTTACTCACATACATAGTCACATCAAGAACAACAAGGACAATAGTTGAAGCATGCTGCCATCAATGTATATAGAGGTCCACAGACGTTGGAATACTGAAGTCTCCTTGTCTTATCTCCAATCCAGTTAATCCCATACACTTCCTTTATGCCATGATGGTACCTCGTTTGTTATTCTACCCTACATTGATTTTAAACCATTTGTTTCAGAAGAGACAGAATTAATCTTTATAGTACCATCCTGCTGAACTGGTGCTCAATACTGTGCAATACATGCATTATGCATGAGACTTAGACAGCATACCATTAGCTACATAACCCAGCTGAGGAATAAGTTGTTCATCCTTGCAATTTTCTCTCCCTGGTACCAGCCGCTGGAATCTCGTGGGATGAGGATTTCCATCAACATCCACCAGAAATGGAGGAGGCATAAGATGTGGAGCCTGCTGAGTCTGTTCGTCCAAAACATAGTTATTTGCATCACGGATCAGTGGTCGGTAATCTGTATGGAAGAACATCTGATCTGGAATCTGCAAGAAAAGCAATTTAGAAAATAAATAAATGGCCATTTGCAGCTGTCATGAAGCTTTGGAATGGCTCCCATACCCACATACCATAACTCCTACACTTAGAATCAGCAGAAGAAATGTTATGACAGAGAACAGACACCTACCACAAGTGTGTTTTATTATCAAGACTTGATGCAAATATTCAACAGTAAATTATGCCAAGGTGAATTGAAAGAAGATAACATCTTGCTCTCTTATCTGGTAGTTCTTGTCTACATCTTTCTGATTTAGATGAACAGTAACTGCTCCCTCATTTAATTAGTTTTAGTCCAGGGCACGGGGGAGACAACAAACTAACACAACTACTCCTAAGACAAAATGAGGCCAAGAGAGATGAGTTTAAGATTCACTCAACTCACCTTTTCATAATTTTTACTGCATCCAAAACCAAATAGCAGCAGGTGTCCATGAGAGTCTGTGCAGGCAAAATGCTGTCCATCTGGTGAGAACTTGCAATCAAAAACAGCTCCATGGCCTTGGCCCTCAATCTGTATACAAACAGAGCATCCCTTTCAAAATCATGTATTCTTTATGAAAAGAAAATTTCACTTGTCTCCTTCAAGTACTAAATTCTAATTCTGTGAACACTCCCAACTCACTCAATGCTTGCTTTTACTTTTCTACTCAACTGTTAAAGTATCACTGATCAATAAAGTCAAATTACTTCTTTGCCCTGAAATTTCAATGCAACTTTTAATTTATGTTCTGAAACAAGAAGTCTAAATTTTATTTAGTGGAATCTTTAGTGTATCTTCCATTTAGTGGAAGATACAGAGCAAGCAAAGAATTCATACACACAGTAGCTCCATACCAGCAGATTTCACAGCCTCAGGTGCCAGGAAGCTAGCTCAGGTCCTGAAACAGCACAGCTGCATTTACTCAGCAGAGGAATCAGACCAACAAACCTGACACTGCATGGATTCAGACAGATGCCACACAAGACAACCATACTGTTTTCCAGACCACAGCATTGTGTTACAACACAGAAATTTGCTGGCTTTCATTGCTCTGCCTTGGAAATGACTACTATCTTTTGCATAGTATAGCTATATAAATGAGTAATATTCTGACCTAACAGATCCCATGAAAGACTTGCTGCTACACTTAAAAACACAATAAACATATCTGGGTGTTGCCTTCTGAGGAGTATAGTGTTTTCTGCTAAATATGCAGGAACTTTCCACTAATCTTGTTATAATGTTGTTCACAGCAAGTACATGATGAAATCCACTCTAGCATCAAGACCAGTTTTACATAAATGTAAAAAAACAAAACTCCTTCCCTGATTATTCTTACCATGTTAAAGTAATTACGAATTTTTGTTCCTTTGTCTATATCCCAAATGAAAATATTTCCATCGTGACCCGCGGAAAGTACAATCCTTTGGTCAAATGGATGGGCCTCCAGAACAAAAACTTCATCATCATGACCCTATAGCAAAAGCAGGGTAAAAAAAAAAAAGTCATGTTTTTCCACATAATATCTCTGAATACACCAGTATTTAGTGTGAGGTTATCTAAAACAGCTCAGTTTACTAGATCTTAAACTAGAATTGCATCTATACTTAGCTGATATTTTGTCAGAGGCTTGGTATTATCATACTTTCTGCTTCAGACTGTAGCTCAGCACAAAAGGAGGAGAGGGGAGAGGAAGCAGAAATCAGTTTTGAGGACAGCTGCAGCCCTTTAGTCAGGCCAGAAGCTGTGACCTCCAAATAGGCTCCCTTGCCAGCCAACAATCAGCACGGTCTAGCAGCACTCTGATCATCAGCTCCTTTCCTCATGATACACATCCTCCCAAAAAGCACAAGACAGCTGGCATATTTCAGGATAAAACATTGCTTAACAGGAGGCATGAGGTTGCAGCTCAGCCTCAAATCACTTTTAGAGTTCATTTATAACAAATAGGGATTATTCACTCAAACTTTACTCACAGATAAGCTATGAAGAAGCTGCCCTGTGGATGAGTTCCACACTTTGAGAAGGAAATTGTTGACTGCAGTGATGACAGTTGCATCATATCTGTCCCAAGCCACCATTGTAACCTTCAGTTTAGTCACCTTGTCCTCTCCAGATGCTACATTGTTTCTAAGAAAATTCATAATTTAAAAAAGAAATAAATCAGTCACTGCACACAGAAACATTTAACAGCACTAACTCAATGTGAAGTTAGGGAGAGCACAGTGGCCACCGCTACTGGCTAATGAAGGAGAAGGAAGGGGAGCGTTTGCAGTAGCAAAAAACATACAGAAAATGCTCAGTACCACTGAGATTTACAGTTCTCTCGCCTTAAAAAGAACAAGTTTCCCTCCTGTTCTTCAATGACCATCTTCACCTACCATAACTCCTTCTTTCATTTCTACAAGACATTTTTTCTTATTGATCATCAACACAAGTAAACTCTGTAGTGAGCAAAAGCTTCCTAAATAAATCAGATTCAGACTTCAGCAGCTAGCTTATTAAAACTGTAACCATTTGAAATACAAAGAATGCAGAAAAAAAAGCTGCCTAGCGGATTTCCCCTGCGCTGATTTTTGTTATCGTACAAATTCAACTAGAAGGCCACTTCAGAAGTCATCCAGTTCAGAAGTCTGTTGGAAAGGACCTCAAACAGAAAAATTCAAAAATCTAATTGAACCTGAGAACAAAATGAACACAACTCATCTCTTACCTGAAGGGTTAGGGAAAAAAGCAACGTTAATAATTGCTCTGGATATACATTTCTATATTACAAGAAATTCTGCAAAGCAACTCAGGTCTTGGATTAAAATAAGAGACCTGGGAGTGCGTTTACACAGGAAAGAAGGTTGTTATGGAAAAGAAACAGTGTCAAACCTCTCATCAACCTTCTGCCTACTGTCATTCGTCCTCAAGTAAGTAAAAAAAGCACCAGTGGCCTAAATTCATTTATCTGAATAGTAACTGAAGAAACTGCCTGTTATTTGTAACAATGGCTGCACAACGCTGGAAACTGCCAAACGTCCAGATTCACATTTGTTTTACATATTGTGCTCTTCTTAATGTTTTAAACTCAATGAATTCATTACAATTTAAACTGTACCCCATAGTACAAAAATAAAACAGTATACATGACATAAAATGAATACTAATGACCTGAGGAAACTATGGCAGTAACTACTAGAACTTTTTTGACAGGTGAGAAAAAACAAGAGTTGTCTTCAACACACACACACATTTATTTTAAAAACATACAGGTCTGCATAGGATCAATGAGGTTCTACTGCAAATCTCTTTCCATGAGGTGAACTCTATTTGACATTCTTACCTCATCAGTAAAATACTAAGTACTCCCCAACCACTACAGTCAGGAACTACCAATTATTAATATTTTCTTCTGGGGGCTAATTAACAGATAGGGCCATGGCATTTTCAATATACCACAAACATGCATTTTTAGTTAACTTAAAGTTAAGTAAGTAGTTTTAAATTCCATGGCAGATTTTGGTCTTTATGTACACAGTGGTAAGCAGCATGCTTTGTTTAGTTTGCTTTACCCTGTCATTTTAGTTGCCATATCCAGGACTACACTCTTCCATTCTTGCTGATGATATTGCCATACTCTTGCCGTTCCATCTCTGCTTCCGCTGACAAATCTTAAACTATGGGGTGGAGGTGGAAAAACAAAAACAGAAAAATGAATCACGAAATTCTGAATAAGCATTAAGTCACTGCTGCTTCTGTCTAACACCCAAATGCCCTTCTTACATGCTCACTGTTCGGTATCTTCACTATGGAGCTTTCTATCCTCAGCAGCAACATGCTCAGAGCATACTAAATGCTGTGGTAAGAATGTTTAGGAGTTTGGCAGAGGACTGTGTTTCCCTCTGCACCAAATATGCACACACATACATGTGTACAGGTAAAACACTTGGAGATGCATACTTGTGTGTATACTCATGCCTTATTCTCTATATGCCTACAAACAGGCATGTTTAATCTGTCATAAAATCTCCATGAACTGATACCACAGAATAAAAAGAAGCTACAAAATTTGGCAAGCCAAGAGCACACGTGTTCAAGTCAGTACAGAAGCTAGAATGTACTTAATACTTTTTCAACACTTATTCTTTACATTGTTTGTGCATCTCTGATCTAGAGAATATAATTAAAAGACAGTGAGGTTACAATTTTCACATCAGATTTTGTACAGCAGAAAACAGTTTATATCTCACAACATTAATTACATTTGGTTATAGCTAGCAGATGGCCTTGGAATGACTTCAATGTCGTAATTCATACAAGCTGCATATTCCCTTTTAAATGACATCAGCAAATCCCTTGAGCAGTTCATAGTGGAAGCAAAGAGAAAGAAATTACATGCCAAGAGTCTAGCATAAATTATAATGCATTAACTTAGGGAAAAGGTGAAGACAGAAAGGAAATACCCACGCTGCATAAAAGTAGTAGCCCTGCCTGTGAAGCTGAATACAAAACCATATCATAAAGCTTTGACCATCAATATTAAGAAGTCATTTTTGTTGGGAATTTTGAAAAAAGCTCCTCGAATAACATTCTTTCCCAGGAAAGCAAACGCCTTTAAAAACGTACTACATTTACATACAGAAACAATGATTGGTTCACCTTTTCACATTTCTTGTCCTGAAATTTTTCATGATGATGAAAAAGTGTTTAAATATATGCACGACAAGCTTTCCTGCTTTATTTATTATTTTTTTAATATAAAATAAAAACATGGTCGTAACTTTTCCATTTAGCATATGAGTATAATTTTCAGTGACTACCTGACTTAATACCCTCAGAGGGACTTGTGCTCTCACATTCCTTGGAAGTAAGGAACTGTTTGTACCATTGTATCAGTACACTCCCACATAATTTTCCACAACAAAGATTTCTGAGTACAGGTGCAGTTGCTCTGGCAAAGGCACTGCTTTGCTTGGATGACTCCTGCAAGCAAAATCCCTTAAACCTTCTGCCTAGCAAAATAAGGAAAATGAGCAAAAGCTGGCATAAATGCATTTACATTAGGATATTGGTCACTAATCATAGCTTGTCATACTGCACTCTAACACAGCTATGCTGCAAAAGCTTGTCACACTGATATGCCTATAGGAACCTCTCACCATGGGCACCCTGATTGCAATTCCCACAGAAGCAACAGCACCCCGACTTAATGCAGGTTTAAAAAGCAAAAGTAGTCATCTAAACTAATTAGCTGGAAATTCAGGATTTGCCTAAGAATTCACATTTTTGCAGACATGTTGTCAGACAGAAGCAAATTTCTATAAATAGTAAAGCAGACCAATAAAATTGTCTACGAGACCCAAAGGCCCAGTGAAGAGCTGCTCTGTGCTTATTCCCCTTCAAGAACAAATCAGATTTTCTCCTGTCATTTTGGAGGCTGTTCATCATATCATGTTCTTCACTAGACTCCCACTGAAGTCAAGTCAAGAACTGGCGAATTCATTAAAACAAACACACTTCCCAAATTTTTCAGAACTGAGCACCAGAAGAGAGAACTTGCTTGGTCAACGCGCCCAGAGAGGGCCTCACAGGAGAAACCATTCACCAAGGAACTAAATTAGACAGATAGCAAAGGGTGGATGACCTCATGGCTCAGCAAAATACCAGCAATGTCATATTATTTAGAAAATGTTTTCAAATTATGCAAATCATTGGCTGCTTTCTGGTTCCCAGCTGATATAAAAGATGCAGAAAGCATAGACAAGAAAGGCTTAAAAACTAAAAAACAAAAACAAAACAAAAAAACCCACAAAACAAACACAAAACCCACTCCACTAAAATAAAAACCAACACATACATAATCTATCAACAACCCTACCAGCTTAAACAAGATAAGTGCACAATTAAACAAAGAAAAAAAAAAAAAAGGGTCCTACATATAACAGTTCTGCAGTTCAAAAATATGGGAGGAGATCTCCTTTGAACGCAAGAGCTAACTGAAGTGCTGCTATCACTGGTAGCTAGTCCACTGCTCTAAGCTGGCCATCAGCACAAGCTGAATTTGGCAAACAGGTGTGGTACAGCCACCATGCTACCCCTTTGCTTCCTGGTGCTCCAGAAAAATAGGTGGTCAGAAGTCATTACCAAATGAGCCACACAAATAAACAGGTAAGTACATATGCTTGCTCTTCACCTCGCCCTAACAGGACTGAAATGATAAAGCAAAAGTAATTGGAAAATGAAATCCCAGATCTTACCGTAAACCTGAAAACCTGAATACACTCAGTTGCTACTGCCAACTTCCTCAGATAAAAGCACCTTGCAACAGAAACCCCATTAATGAAGATCAGATCACAGCTCTTTGCAGATAATTGCACTCCAGTCCATGAAGCACACTTGCTTGTCTGACCATCTACGAATCTGTAACAGTTTTAGCTTAGCTTATGTCTATTACAGTGCTCTTTTCCAGAAGTAACCCTTCCTGTACTTAACAAGCCTACCTGTGAGGTGAGACACTAAAAGGATACAAAATTTGGTTTCCTATTTACTCAATTTAATTAAAAAAAAAAACAAAAAACAACAAACAAACAAACCACACCAAGAAAAGCAGAATCACAGAATGTTTTTTGTTGCTACAGCAGAAGACAGCAAGATTAACCTTGCGGATATGGTACACTTAACTCCTAGTACACTTTAAATAATTTGTCTAAGATTAAGAAGAGCCCACATGCAGTCTTCCTGTTGCACTAAGTTTACCTTGGATTATTTGAAAATTAAATACCATACTTTCAATGGAAAAATCCCAGGGCAGCCACTCACCTGTCTCCATTGTTACAGAACTGGACTGCGACAACTTTGTCCTAAACAAGGAGGGAAAAAATAGTAGTAAGTGCTTTGTAAGATGAAACGCTCATCCAAAAAGATCTCATTGCTGAACTGCTATTTAGCAAATTACACCTTCCTATGCGTCTCCTGTAATACATTATCATATAAATTCAGAAGTCACATCCCCTATTAAAATTTCCCCGAGCAGGCATTTTGTGTTAGACATCAAAAGAGAAAAATCTCGAACAGGCAGTGAATCCACAGCTTTCCAGAAGGAGTTCAGAGACGCAAAGGATTTCTAGCTCAGCCTCTTCAATACTTGCATATTTAGGAGGAAGAAGGTGCAGCAGCTCTGCTCTTACCTGAGCACAGTCTTCCTGCAAACGCCACAGGGCAAACCCTGCCTGGGAACCCTGCACACTTAACACTGCACTGTTAACAGGAGTAAGGCACTCCCAGAGTTCCAAGGCCTGGTAGGTACAGCACTCAATACAATGGTAAAAAAAATGACTTAACAACATACATAAGAGGTTTGCAATTTTTAGATAGAATGTTAAAGCAGTTCAAAATATTTTGTCCACCAACAACTGAAAAAGCAAACAAACCTCGGTTTTATTTCCACTTCTTAATTGTTGAGAAACTAGCATTAAATTTTAGATGTTTTTTAAAAATTATTATTTTATTTTGCTTAATACTTATATTGGCTACATGCACTTGCTAATCTTTCCTCCCACAAGCATTCCCAGGTCCTGACAAGTGTCCAGCTCAGGACTTCTTCAGGGGCAAGCTAACAGCAAGCTGAGTTGTTAAGCAGAATTTCAAAAATCAAAGGAATTTCAGTTTATTCCCAAGCTGATGTGCTGAATACAGAAGACAAGATCTTGCCTGTGAGTAAAACATTTGCTAGATTTACTGACTTGAAGCTCTAAGATGTAAACACAGGACTCATGACTCCCACTGAAGTTCAATTAATCAATTTAGTCCTCAGCCCTAATGCACAAAATATTATTAAAGTTGGTGGCTGGGCTATTACAGTATAAAGATAAATGCTCCAAGCTCCTCATCATTCAGAAGCCTATCAGTGTTGCTGTAAGTTGGCCTTTCTGATATATTGTTTACAAACACAATAAATAATACTGACATCCTCTGTTCTCAGTAACAATTAAGAAATGAAGACAGATTTGACACTATTTTAGTAACAGTTCTTTATCAGATTTCATTAAAATCAAGACATTCAATAGTTTTAATAGAAACCATCAAAACTTGGAAACCTAGAAACTAGTGCTGAAGGTTACACAGATATTCAGAATATTTTTAATTTTAATGAGAATCCCTCTGCACCACTAGTGAAAGAATACTCTTAAGTTTTCCTTGCTTTCTAAATGATCTAGAGTCTGACGCCATACTCTAAAACTAGAATGACTTTGAGGTCTTTTTATTACATGGATTTTTGTCACAAATCTAGTTAAATATTCAAGAACAAATTTAATAGGAATAATAATGTCTTGCATGAAAAGTGCTTTAATTCCCCACCCCATCACAGACTCTCTTCAGGAACAAATGAAACAACCCAGTCCCTCCTCCCATTTCCTGGAATAAAGGGGATAAAATACATAAAACATTCTGCACGCATCTCTGGCTTTAGGGGAATTTTAAAATAAGTATATTACAAACTTCAAGGCATTAAAATACCACGGTGTTGAGAACCAACCAAACTCTGAAGACAGAAAAGAAGTTTAATAGCGTACACAAAGCCTAAGTTCTTGAAATAAGGTAGGGGGAAAAGGAAGATTTCCTTTCCTTTTGTCTCTTACCGTGTGAGATTCCAACTCTGCCATTTTCTCTGGAGACTCTGAGCCCAAATAATATATTCTTATCACGTGGTCAGTACTACCTGTTGCAATGAACATGCCACCTAAGACAGACAGTGTTTCTGGTGAGAAGTCATCCAAGGAACAACTGAATTCAATTACTGCTTTATTGTCAAAGAAACAATTTTAAAGAAGTTTTAAACCGAAAATTTCAATGTAATACAAACACACGTCCTGAAAAAATAAGGCAACCCTGACAAGTTTTGTTTTAACCCGTACTTTCTCAGACCGCCTCAACTTCAATGTAACAATGAGGTCTGCAACAAGTTACAGCTGTAGGTCTTTGTCACCAAAGGAAGAAAAACTGCAAGTTGCAGCACTCATCAACTAATTCTACTAATTCTACTGCCTTCCCCCATACCTTCAGAAATTATCACAGTGCCCTCAGTCAGCCTATGCAGAACAATAGAAGGGGAGCAATTTGATATCCTCACTGGCCAAACCAAACGTGGAAGCACATCTATTTGAAGTGTTTAGAGAAATTATTGATGAACTGGGAGTCAGCGATTAAGTTATTTTCTAGTAATGTTTGTTTGTTCTGTTAATAATATTGCAGAGAAGAAATGGGTGCTCGTGTGTAGCTTATGGCATCAAAATGGTATTAGCGCTTTCAGGACCCCAGATTTTAAAAAAGGAATATGTTAAGGGTTGTGTGGCTCTAGAATAGTTCTCAAATCCAGGTAACAAAAATAAATAAGAAATTACACAATTTTACTAGTAAGAATCACTATTTTTGAGGATTAAGAGCTGTAACAGAGGATCTTATTCAAGCTGATTATTTTCAAATGCATACAAGGGAACATAAGGACTCAGTCACTTACAAATCACTCAATAGATTATTTTATACTTTGCTCTTCAGTACTAAGTAAATTACTGAATAGCTGCTCACTAATGAGACAACTCTGTCTCCCTCCTGCACTCCCGGGCTGGTCTGGCCTCCACGGTTCTGCCAAGCAGCACCACGTGCAGCCTGGGCAGCCTGAGGGAAAGAGGGAGGGCAAAAATGCCCTGAAGGAAATACTGGGAATTATTGAAGCCCAAAGAAGTCTCTAAGTGAAAACTGATCTTTCTAGAATACAGCCAAATTTGGAATTGGCAAAAGAGCCATCTCTAAACAGAAGTCACCTGTCTGGAAGATTTCAAGAACTTTCTATTGAAAATCCTTACTGAAACTTTTTTTCTGAGATGGTAAAGATATTTAAGTCAAATTTAAAACAAAGAAACAAGCACACACACATGCAAAAAAAAAAAAAAAAAAAAAAAGCAGCTTGAAACACACACTGCACAAAGAGATTCAAACAATCACAGCGTGACAGTGCTGTGATTAACTGAAAAAGGCTTTGGTATCATTTGTATTTATAAAGAAGTAATAGCTCTGTCACCCACCAGAGGAATTACAGTTCAGAACATACTTTCCAGCTACCTCATATCACATACATACCAGAACTGAAAGATGAACAAGATATCTGAACGCCAGGCCTGGACCTCTCCGCAAATTTCACAGGGCGATCCCTATATGTGACATCACAGCATTTTACTCTTCATTCCTTTGCTCCCACACTGCAGCTCGTACAGTCAGCGCATTCATCCTAAAACCTTTCATTTCGTAATCATACCTTATTTTGCTAGAGCTTATTTTTATTTGTTTACTAATAAAACTACCATTTTCTAAATTGAAAATATTTAACTTATTTATAATTATATTAACCAACTTAAATCTACTTAAAACAGAACTTGGCAAGCCACTTGTATAATAGGATTTATTTCCTACTAAGTGTGGCTTTGGTGACATCTATAGATCCGTGTTCTTCTGATCAAAAGCAATGAAATATCTTTGCTTGTACATTTCACACAAAGATGTGGTCCTAAACACAAAAGCATTAAGTTCTTCCGCAGCACTGCCTAGCAAAGCACAGAAAAAAGAAAAAATAACCTCCCCTCTGCATTGTAACACCAAGACTCTGCAAGGCATGTAAGACAAAGTGCTCTCTGCCCCACACACTGGTGTTATGTATGGCAGCCACACCACAGTCATCCAGCAGCAAGAATATAGCAGAACACATCCCCAAGTACTTACTCATAGAGAAGGAACATGCCCTTAATTACCCCAGTATTCCTCTCCATTTTAAAATTCCAAATAAATTTGTTTTTCTTCTAAAATAATAATAATAATCTGACAGGCTTACTTAAACTTCATGGTGTTTGCATGCCACTGCCAGAAACAGATTGTTCCATCAGCACCAGTAGAAGTGAGGTATCGTGTTGTGCCTTTTCTTGCTGGAGAGAACTGAAAATAAAGTTTAGAATTCAATCAGCTAATTTCATTCTCCCCCTTCCATGCTACAGATTAGTAAATGGACATTGACAGGAATATTTTTCATTAGCATGTTAACTTTCTCCTCAGGATTACAGAGAGCAGGAACAGGCACAAACACAGAAAATGAACTTGCATAAAAATAAAGCCAAGAAAATAGAAACAAAAACCAAACACGTTTTGACTAGCGAGCCTCTTATGGCCACAGAAAATTCAACTCCAAAAGGAAACAAGCTTAGTCCTTCTGACCAGGGCAACAAGATGAGAGAATACCTCTGTAATTCTCTATGTGTGTGACATTTTCCTGTTTCCTCAAAAAGTCGTAAAGAATTATGATTATTTTCTAAGTTATCAGAACTTTTAAAAAAAGCTTGTGAGGAATGTTATATATACATTGTATACCTATACCATAAATAATATTTTGTTTATACAATTATATATAACACAAAATCAAGTTGTAAAATATTGCCTTAATAATATAATAAGCACATTTCAACAGAGTTAAATTCAGACAAAAGTGGAAGTACAGACAAGGGGAAGAGAAATGAGGTTCCCAGTTGCTGTGTACACAGCTTTCAAGGATGCCAGCTGTTTCCCCCTGACCCTGCCAGTTCATCTGATGCTCTCAGCTGGGACAAACCTACACTGCCAAACACAATGGAAAGAGAAATTTTATTTCCATCTGCTAGTACCATTTTATTTCAATAGCTTACGAAGAAATATTATTCCTTACCTGTATAGAAGTAATGGAAGCAGAATGGCCCTGCAGGACTGCAACTGGGGCACAGGTTCGAAGACACCACACTCTGACAATCTTATCACAACTGCCTGCTGCAAGCAGCGTGTTCTCATAGTTAACAGCCATGTCAGAAATCTCAGCTGAGTGCCCTCGCAGCGTTGAGAGCAGGCGCCCATCATCTGTAGCCCAGATTTTGACCAAGCAATCATCTGACCCCTAATGCCAGAAAAAATTTCCAAAGATTATATAAAATAATCTACATGTTATGTGTCCGTGATACACACGTGGGCTGTGGATGAACAAGAATCTAAAGCACCTCGAGATGAACAACTTCAGCAGGATTCCATAGAAACACATCTGACTTTGGGAATCATTTTGTGATGGCAGGAATTGAGATGTTTGTAAAACAGAAGATACTCTTTTGATTTGTACTAATATACCTAATATACACTGCAAATATAACATCTCTCAGTACCTTCAGTAGTAATCAAGTTTCAGATGAGATGTTTAATTATGTGTTATTAACAGGAACGTTCATCTGTGCGAGCAGGAAGAATCCAATACTAAATGTAAGGTGACCATAAGGGTGGAGGAAGCTCTAAGGAAAATGAGAACTTGAGCATGTGAGGCTCCTCAGAACCTCTGCCAGGCCCCGAGAGCTGCCAGTAGTCAGCTGTACCACGAGGTTTAATTTTTGTTGATGGAAGAAAGCTGGACCACAAAAAGAGAACTCATGGATATCATGCACAACTGAGAGAATTCAGTTTGGGACAGGATACAATCCAACAGCAGCTTATTGTAAAATTCTTCTACCTCTAATAGCAGCTACATAACTTCACATTCAGTCTTAAAGTCTCAGAATATTAAAGACAATTTTTAGGCAGTTCACAGTTACTTGAACTATTCAAATATTAAAAACAATACTAATTTTGACCCTAATTCAAGTAGGCAAAACAACAGCAGAGTGCTACATTCAAGTCTCAGCCTGTGTTTCGCCAATGCTCTCCAAGGACTACCACTGAGCACTCAGGCACATCAACACAGTAACACTAAACATAATGTCAACATCATTTGACTTTAATTACATTTTATTAGCTGCATATAAGTTCACAGACAAATCAGTTTCAGTACTTCATATAACTGCAGATGAGAAAGATCTTTTTTTTTTTTCTATGATATAGATAAAAATGGAAAGGCCCTCACTGTGATCCAGAGTAATAACAATAATAACATTTCTATTTGACCAATTCATAATTAGTGGGAAAGCTAGCAAAGAAAAACAGAGGTAACAATTAGCCTTCCAGGTAAACTGTGCTAGATAGCTATCAATAAGAGGCAAGGGCAAAGAAAAGCCAAGACAAGATTAGCATTCACTCTTTAAAAATGCATTACTAGTTATTAATTTAAAAAAATCTGTTGGTTTTTAAACACAACAAAAACCAAGTGTAGTATCATAGAAATGTATGTTATATATTATCATGAAAAACTGAAAATGGTATTCACATATCCATGTGAATATATACTGACATACTATGAAGTCTAGAAAGTACATTTAGCAGAGGCGTAAATTGCAGATGAAGTAACGAGGCTCTTTATTTGTCACCAAGTTTTTACTGAAATGTAATGCCAGAATTTCCAAGGTTACCAAAGGTAAAATGTAGTTTTTAAAAAAAAAAAAAAAAAGTGTTAAGACTGAACTCAGCAAGCAGTATGCACAATAATTACAAAGTCCAGAATAATTCAGGTGCCATTTAGCAAGAAAGTTGATTAACCAATAGAAATGAGCACACATTTCAAGTGAGAGCTACAAGATGTGGACTGGAACAGCCCTTCTGTAAGGGCTGGCAAGTAGATGGCTGTTTCAGTCTCCCAGAGCCAGAAGCAATTTTAAAACATCGACTCAAATGAAAAGTGAAAACTAACAATGAAAAAGATGGATTTTCATATATATCAAATATTTTCTTCCCTTCTTTTTCTGGAGGCTGTTTCCACATCTCCATCAAAAACAAAGAGGCTGATAAGGGACTCAAAAAGAAGAAAACCAAACTAAGCAAAGCAATCTTCAAAGAAAAGTTAAATTATTAGACTTACTGTAAAAATTCTTCTCCCACTGCGATCAAAGGCTATACAGTAAACAGAAGACAGATGCCCTAATATCCTCTTGTGCATCTTCATCTGTTGGTAGGTGGATGTTGGGAACAAGTGGCTGAAACGTCCACATCCAGTTAATTGCCGTGCAGAAAGAATATTTACTGGAAGAAAAAGTAATAATAAAAATTAAGACCTGCATTTTGTGTCCAGGACTCAAAGGAAACAAATACTGTGTCAATATAAGATTTGGTAACAACGTTTATAATCTATAAATCTGAACCCCTGCCACTTTATCAGGACATTCTGTACAGTCTTCCAAAAAATACACAACCATGAAGGAAGCCTATTACCACACACGATACACCTGGTTTCCTAACAAATATTAAAGCACAATAAAGTGTTTTCATAATTACCAAAAGTTAATCCAAGAGTTCAGATCACGAGCAGGCCACAGATACACTCTGTGGACTTTGAAAATTTGGTATTAGTAATATGTAATTGCCATATAATAATCATCACAAATTTATGTTTGGATGGCATCTCTTTTGTTAGTTTGTTTTTTAATTTGTGATAAAAAAGATTTATTTGGAAAGGACACTGGATCATACGGTCAGGATCAAAAGTTTCCTATGTTTTCTATAAAGTCTCTCTCATTATTGGCAGTAGCAGCAACTTCCTTTCATTTTTAGCACGATATAAGAACAAGAAATACGCAGCACTGATGGAAAGAGTTCCAGTCAAGAGCATCAAGCACAGAAAAAACCCTCAACAACAAATGATACCAATATTGCCACTCCTAGGGGTCCTGATGAAAAGAGGCAGAAACCTCAATGCACAAAGGCACGAGGTAGAGACAAGCACTGCTAGCAGATTTGCTGAAGGTAACTATGAAGCTTTTCACTAGGAAATGAGAGACTAAGCATGAAATTGACTGCCAGGGCACACCACTGCAGGCAGATCATCATGGCTGCAGAATACAGAAAGACGCTAATTCTAATCTTTGATCCAATGCATAATTTGGGATAACTCTTGGCATTTAATTTCACCTGTCCTAATTCATCCCACTTGAACGTTTGACTTCAGAGTTTTGAGAGTTCTTTCTGAATGCCACTCAAGATACACAGCTGTACTGGTGGGTTGCAGACTGCTTGCCATAGGAGGCTCCCTGCAGATCCCCTTATCTTGTGTACTGCACACTGCAGTAGGCAGGACTGCCCAGGAACCATGGGAAGCTCTCGAGTGCCTTTCAGCCCTTTATTTCAACAGCATACTGAACAACTTGACCCATTTTCTTAATTGCATCATCATACTTTTTACCTGCCTACACAAACACCAGGAAAAAAAAAAAAAAAAAAGACCATGGAAGATGTTAGAAAATTACAAAGTCAAGAAGCACCTTTTCAAAGAGTTATGAACTGGTTACACAGTTCTGTATGTTTATAAGATTGAGGCATTTAAACACAGCAGAGAGATAAGCAGGGCAGAAAATGAATTGATCCGGGTTTACAGAAGGTATTTTTGTTTCTCAGTTTTGTGCCCTGAAACTTGGGCTATTTTTAATAATTGAAGGCAACAAAAAAAGCTACATATTAGAAAAAAGGCACAGTAGCATGAAAGAAGTCTGTGCTTGAAAAGAATCAGACTCCCACCATGACCTTATCTTCAGTCAATATTTGTTTTTCATGCAAAAACACATACACAGCAGTGCTAAAGAAGTAAAACACACTAAGCCGAATTAATTTACTATCTAACTACTATTCAAGCAATACCTGATATTATATAGGAACTGCTATATTATATAGAAACTGCCTCCCTTAGCAAAGTAGAAATGAAGATTTGCCCACCTCTTACAGAAGGGAACAGAGTTCCCTTTGTGATAAATGCAGTAAAATGGTACCTTTTGCTTCGCCTATGCATTATTTTTATATATTGCTCAGACAAACCAGCTTAACACCTAACTTCTTAAAAACATTACAGTTCCCCTTCTGGAAATGTAGCACTGCTCATTGTTGTAACTCACACAAAGGACACACCATGCACGAAGCGTAACAGCAGCCAGGCACAAGTGCATCTTAGAACAAAAAGGAAGCTTTCAACACACCTGATTCTCACTGCAAAAAAGCTAAGTGTAAACCAGAAATGTCTACCTCACACACAAAGCCATCACTGAGATCTTAGTCCACCCACACTTCATAAACTCTCACTGCCTTCAAAGGAGCTCTCATACACACATCAGAAAACAACAACAAACCATGCACAAATTCTCCTATCTTTTGGTAGAAGATTAATGGGAATAATACCTAAGTACAGGATAAAGAGCCCTGGGAAATCTGTCTTCTTTGTTACAATAGTTATTATACTCGAAGTCTAAAATCATCAAAAAAAACCCTGATTCCCACGGGTAGAATTAGCAAAATAGCACCCCTAAAAACTTTGGGAAACACATCTAAAATGCTGCAGCACTTGGTGCCATACTAGGCCTAACAGCTGCCAGCTTCGCTCTCCTTCCCCTCACTATTTACTCCTAAGAAAAGGTTTCAAAACTGTCTTGATGTTACGTGCTATTAACAGTGAGCATATCCAGTCTTCTTTTTAAGAAATGAAGCAATTTTCTCCTACAAACAGAATTGCTTTCTCAGATGAAGTTCTGCTCTTCTAGCTGTTAACATGACTGCTATCCATGTGCAGAGATGCCACAAACCTCATTGTTGCTGATAGCCTTTCACCAGCCAAAACATTCCTTACTCACAACCTTCTTGATCTCCAAAACACTCCCTACTGCCACACAGAACTTGGCACGCTCTCCCTTCGGTAAGGAGAGATTGCTGACCTCAGAAATGAATCCAGGTTATGCGATCCTTCTTGCAGCACACTGGTGGGGATGTGGACTCCTGACTCCTTGAGCTAGGGAAAGCCCTGGCTTACAGAAGCACCAACCCACAGCATTAGCTTGGGGTGCTGTGCAGTAAAACATTTCTCTGCTTCTCATAGCCCTTGGTCCTTGAACACACACACTTCCAAAACAAAACCTGCACTTCCAGTGCAAGTACAGGCATCGCTGCAGTGAGTGCAGGGGACACAATCACACTGTAAAACAGTAATTTGTAAGTGGCAGTCTGTACTGCTAGAGATAACAAGACAAATGTAACATCAGGCCTGAAGGCTGGGCACCTCTCAAAGTGTGCAGAAGAGAGGCATCTTGAGCCTGGATTTCACATGGACACTGGAAAACACATGCAGTTGGCTCAGACATGCCAAATACTTTCTCAAAGAGCAAATGTGTCACCAAGACAGCCAGACCTGCTAAAAGCACAGAAACAAAGCATTCTGGCTTTCAGAGCTGCTGACTTCGTGGAACTTCTTCATTCAGTCCCAAAGATACCATTAGCACAAAAACAGCAAAGAAACAGTCTGAAAGGCCATGCTTACCAAGTTCACCACGATACCCTGCTGGCAGCAAGCTTAAATCTTTATCACAAGAATGGAAACAATATAAGAATTCTTCTACCCACTATTTCTACACCTGAGTTAACTATCTGCACAGGCAATTGCAGTAGTTTAATTTCACAACTGCACGTGATGCTGGGCACCCATTCCTTCAGCACAACTACTTCCAGCACTTCAGCAAGCACTTCCAGAAACCCCCAGGCTGTCCCCATCTGACTGCCCAAGGCCGTCCCACGTTAAGTCAGCACAGCACAGGAATTCACAATCATGCTGAAATATTAAAGAGCCTGCTTGTACTTCTTTGTTTAGCATTTTAAAAGAAGACATGGACACTGCAGCACCACTCACCAAAACAAAAATCCCACTTAATTTTGCACAAATCCACACAGAAGAATTTTTTGACACTTGATTCAGGTACAGCCATTGGGAACACCAGAACCAAGCTTCTGTCTCCTGTACACCTTTAGAACAGGACATCTCTGTATTTTTAAACTTTGCCCATACTTTTCTCTCTAACTGGTAGTTTATATATCTACTCCAAGGAGGACCATATTCTTCTAGAAACTGGTATTTACAAAAAGGAACTCCTGGCTATAAAGACTCATTTCCACACAACACTTCTGTATTTCTTAATAGCAGTTTGTGGGAAAATATCAGAAACAAGAAAACATTCTGTTCTCCAAGTCATTAAACAGATACCAAGCAAGTAGCAGAGACCTTTGTCATGATAGCATGACAGTGCTGAAGTCCAATACACCACTATGCTTCATCAGTAACACCAAGTATTCCAAAAAGCTCCTTCTGAAGTATTCATCCAGAACCCCTTATGGAAATACAATTTCTACAGAGATTGAGGTTATGCAGTCAACCTATAATCCAGCTTATTAACAGTCCACCAACCTAAGTGCTAATTTTAAAGTAAATTCAGAACCAGTCTAAAAGAATAAATACAGAGATATGCACAGAAGTAACGTTACCAGTATATGGAAATAGTTCCTTCTTTTTTAAGTGACACAGTATAGCTCAAATCACCTGGCAAAAGCAGGAAAAGTACTAAGGTAATAGTTAATTATGAACAAGCTCTAGGCAAATATTCATTTATTTTTCATACAGCAGATCCATATTAACTTCACTCTTCTGTCACTGTTGCTGGAACACCACAGACCTTATGCAAAGTGTGCCACTGGTTTCAACCACAAGCAGCCTCGACTTTGTCACTTTTACGTCAGACAAAGGTTAATTTTTAGTAAGGAGAGACAGTGAGAAAATGCAGAAACATAAACAAAGGAACAGACATTGTAGAAGCAGAAGATGGTCACCATGATCCCAGCATCTCTAGAGGAGAAATGGCTGGGAAGGAGAATGGAATCTCCTTTAAAAAAAAATAAATTATTTTCAGAGATTAAGCAAGGATTGTGGTCAGGAAAAAGAGGAAAAAAAAAAGAAGGAAAAGAAAAACAGTATCCTTAGTACTCAGTTTTCTGATTTTTAAGTTAAATTAATCATGCCAGTTGGATGGAGTTCAACAGAGACTTCCCATTAGAGATTTCCACTCAACAGATAAGAGAAATGCACATGAATAAATCCCCTAACAAATCAGGGGAAGTCCATATATCTTCACAAAAATTCACATGGTAATCATAAATAAAATACCCTAATATGAAAAGAAATCATGACAGACAGGACTTATATTTATGCCTGTAAGAATCAAATTTGCTTGCTGCAAAAATAGTTAATGAAAATTCGGACCATACTAGGAAAAGAGGTTTCAGTTTAAGCAAAACAGAGCTCTGTGATGATAAATAAGCTGAATGCACACATACATCTGAGTTCTATACAAGTTCTTTATCCAACTGAAAGCAAATACAAGTGCTGGTTTGGTGATTATTTCCTTTTATGTAGAAGGATGCTGCAAGTAGTCTGCTTTCTGTCATAATTGAACTAAAATGAATTCTTGAGATAAAAGTTATCTGGGAACCAGGTGCTTTATTCCAGCTAAAGATCTTGAAGGAAAGATTGTCTACATGCTCCTGTGACCATGCCTTTTCAATCATATGGGCATATGCACTTTTTACACGGGTGTATCATAACAGATCAAAGCCTATTTCTACCTAAACATGTGTACATATATTATAGAAGGCTGAAGCCAGAAGAATGCAAAAACAATTATTTGATTGTCAGTGAGGATTGTTTTTTAGATTAATTAATGGTGACATCTTAAAAAAGCCACTAATAAAAACATTAATGATAACATGAGCCAGCAGTGTGCCCTTGCTGCTCAGAAGGCAAATTGTATCCTGGGCTCCATCAAAAGAGGGGTGGCCAGCAGGGACAGGGAGGTGATTGTCCCCCTCTGCTCTGCTCTTGTGAGGCCCCATCTGGAAAACTGCGTCCAAGTGTGGAGCCCACAGTACAGAAAAGACAGGGAGCTGTTGGAGAGGGTCCAGAGGAGGGCCATGAAGATGATCAGGGGACTGGAGCACCTCCCCTGTGAAGACAGGCTGAGGGAGATGGGCTTGCTCAGCCTGGAGAAAAGAAGGCTGGGGCATGACCTTATTGCAGCCTTTCAGTACCTAAAGGGAGCCTACAAACAGGAGGGGAATCAACTCTTTGAAAGGGTAGATAACAGCAGGACAAGGGGAAATGGTTTTAAGTTGAGGGAGGGAGATTTAGGTTGGATGTCAGAGGGAAATTCTTTACGGAGAGAGTGGTGAGGTGCTGGAACAGCTGCCCTGAGAGGTTGTGGATGCCCCATCCCTGGAGGTGTTCAATGCCAGATTGGATGGGGCCCTGGGCAGCCTGGTCTGGTATTAAATGTGGAGGATGGTGGTCCTGCATGTGGCAGGGGGTTGGAGATTCATGATCCTTGAGGTCCCTTCCAACCCTGGCCATTCCGTGATTCTGTGAAAACCCAAATTAGCAATTCAGCCGGAAAGAGTTAACTTTAAGATGGAATATTAATAAAAACACAGAGGAGGCAAAACCACCTCATTTATGTTTCAAAACTCACCCACGTTTGGTGGTTTCCCATAATTTACAGGTAGTTCGGGAGGCCGGCCTCTGTGAAGAGCTGCAAATGCTGATCCCTTCCATAGTGTGTGCCTGAAATCTGTATGGGAAAGATTAACAGCAGGTTAAAGAAATGATCAGCCAAGCCAGGCCTAACTGACCTATTCTTCCCAGAAGCAACAGCATCAAGCAGCACTCCCAGCACCCTTGTCTGTCATTTCTCAGCCTCCAGGCTCAACTGTTCTCATGGAAAAGTAAAATTCATCTTTTTGAGTAGTTTGTCAGAAATGTAATTGGGGGAGGCTGTTAAGCTGATTTCTCATTCCTAAGCAATATGACCATAAATGTTTTTAGCTTGTTTTTGCTTCATTTTGGTGAATAGTTTCTAATCTGCTGGTAAGAAAAAGAGAACAAAAAAAGTAGGTGCACACTGTATTGAAGCAACACTGAATTCTGGTGTGATTTTAGTCTTTTTGGAATCCCAACACCTACAAGATCTCTCCTTACAAACTGTACATTTGGGAATATGCTCACATACGTTTTTTCCCTGAAAAGAGGAGAAGGGAAATTTTTTTCAATAAATCTGTTTTCTTGCAATTGGTGGCAATATGCCTTATCTTCAGATACTCCTCTGCACCCCTGTGCCCCTCCCCCCCAAACGTAGCTATTAAAATGAAGACTGTTTTCTTTAAAGGCACTCCAGCTACACGCTGCCAACTGGCCTCAGAGAGCCTTCTCTCCAGAACAATAGCAATTTTTCTGAGACTGTTCAGAGAGCCTCAGAAATTAGACCTGGACTTCTTCCATTTCTGGCCATCTGGAGGGGAGAAACGAGCCGCCACAGTGAATAAGAACTGAAAGAGAAGGACAGTGCCACAGATTGGTAGGTCCATGTATCAGCACCTCGATCTCTGAACACGCTGTGTACAGGGTTACATGACTCAACAAGACTCCTGAGAGCACCCTCTATTACAGTCCAAACTGTGCCACAGAGCATTCTGATGTTGCACCTTAAAAGCAACACTTAAACTTCCCCAAATTGATCAAAATAACTGCGAATGCTAACGGTAAATGGAAGCTTCATACTGAAGCACAACTAAGAGTAAAAACAACCAACCCATATGTGTCAATTTTGAAAAGGTACACTGTCCCACGCTAGCGAGTGCACACCGAATTGCAGTGTCACAGCAGCTCTTTTCCTGAAGGAAAAAATCCCATCATAAGTCCAGCAGAATTCTCTTTCCAATGAAGATGTCACTTAAAAAGCACTATATGTCAGCAATTCATCTAGCCTCTGTTCCCTAATTAACCCAGAGACCAGCTCTTAGCATAGATATGTTCTTTTCCATGTTTTCTTCTAAGATGCAAAGCAATGTGAAATGAAGAAATGTTTTGCTGCGAACCTCCCTGCAAATCTGAAGTTCTCCAGTTATAACAAAGTATAGATTCACCCCCAAACTTTGGATAAGTGATTGCAGACACGACATGCACCAGGTGACATCAAATGGATTAGCAAGAAGCTACCATCCTGGTTACGCATCTGAGTCTGACTTCACATGCAGAAAATTTAGCGCTCAATTGCCACTGACACAGGAAGGTGCAGCTCTCCACCCCGGCTCTTCTCTCAGGAGGATGCTCCTTTGTCACCTCCAGCACTCTGATCCACGAGCTCATTTAATTCAGTACTTACCATAGCAATACCAAGTTTTGCAACAGTTCAGCTGTGAATCAGCACATCATAGGATCAGACAAGTTCTGGCTCCTACAGGGGAGAAGTGGCAGGGAGGAGGGAAGGGAGGAACCACTCTTTTCAATAGCAAATGGCTCTCAGATCCGCTTAGTTATAACACAAAAGTGTGCTTTCAGGATCACTGTCTCAAGCAGAGCAGTTTTTCAGAAGGACTAGACTGGTGTCCTATTCAAGAAGGGAACAGGGGATTTTGTTCAAATTAACTTCAAGCAAGGACAAGCAGGAAACTATCACCAAAGAATGGCTCACTTTCTCCAACCCTCTAACTGCTGTCCGAAATGCCACCCTACCCTTCAACCTGTCTGTACAGCCAGACAATCAAATAAAGGAATACACCAGTGTGAAAGATAGCCCAGCAAAATATATACTGTGGTAGGTTATTTCAGACACACGCACACGTTTATGCATTTGGAAAAATATGGCTATTTTTCAGGTGGGTCAAATCTCTAATCCAGTTCATCACACTGTTGACACAAATACCAGTCCAACAAGCTTGGGAGGGAAAGGAGAAGTAACAAGATAAGGCAATAATAGACACAGAGATGGCATTCCCAACCAAAGACACAATAACAGGGCCAGCAATAACTGTGTTTTAGCAAGACCACAATAAGTAAGCAGGAGCTGAAAAGCAGAGAAGATAAACCAGGGTTTACACGAACAGATACAGATAACACAATATGGATTGAAACAAAAGGTTTCGTTCCTCAAAACAAAATGCAGACAGACATAAATCTTACCTTTTGCTGCCCTTAACAGAGATTGCCGCCCAACTCCCAGCAAGGTCTGCACACCTAAGACGCTCTGTGGGATTTCCTTGTCTAAAAGTGGCCCGAGTCTCTCACAGATCCTAAGAAGATAATCCGGAGGGATGTGTGCATTGACAGCCACCTAAACATACAGATAACACAGGTATCTGAAAATCGGTTCATTTTTGCTTCTGCTAGTTTTTTTTTTTTTTTTTTTAATTCCCATTCAAATATTAAAATTAGTTACTTAAATGATTTCTAAAATGAAGATGGTGAAAGTGTCCTCAAAATTGATTATACCTAAAATATCTTTTAACATGTCACAGAATGTGGAATAAGTCAGACTAGAAAAATCAAGGTAATAACAGCCAGAGTAGTAATTTAGAACGCTCTTTAATAACAAACAAAAGATCCCAGAAACACAGCATTCTCACTGCATTGGTCTGATCAAATGAAGTATTGCCTGGGGGCTTCTCCAGTCTGTTTTACCCTTCAATTCATTCATGCACTATGTTTTGCTTAGCTGAAAAACCCTTGCCTTACATCACTGTAAGAAGTGCATGTACAAAGCCTGAAAACCCTACATATTATGCTTAGAGCAATACCCAGTCCTTATTTTCTAATTGCTAGGAATAGTAACTTTAAGACCCACATTTGCCAGCTCCTAATTAGTTATCCCGAGAAATCATTCCTCCTTTTCTGCTTTAGACAGAGACTGTTTTCTATGGGGATATGATAGCTTCCCCAACAGTCTGTCCAAACAGCAAATAAGCTTTGCTGCCATGTCTAGAGTGCTCTGCAGCTGCCTGACTACTACTACACCCACCAGCTGCCAACAAAAATATGCAACATCAGAGTTCATTTGACTCCTTCAACCCAGGATGTAGAGCTACGACCACCTCTTTTCTAAGATCAACAACAGCCAGCCTTTCAACTCCTTGGTACCTGTGATTGAAGACTGAGAAAACAATGAACTAGAACTATTTGCAAGTGCTGTATCTCTTGCAACATCATGAAGAATAAGATGATACTAAAAGAGCTTTTTTTGTTTTCCCAAGCCACAAGCTAATGCCAAGTAATACTAAAGCCAACCTGAAAAGGCCAGAACAGCATTCATTGTAAAGAAACAGCAGCAGGCACATGTGTATGCACACACCCACCAGAACACTGCAGCTGTGTCCAGTCATACCCAATGCTGGTGAGGAGCTCTAAGCACTCTTCAGCAACGCAGGTCCCTTCCCAAAGTGCAGGACAAGTTTTTGCCCAGCTTGACTACTCGATATAGTTTCCCTTGGCATCAGCCCCAGCGCTCATCTATCACACTGCGAACTGTTTCGGCTCCCCAGGCTCAGAGAACATTCAACCCACAGAAGGGAAAGGCACTCTGCAAAGCTGACTGTGATTCAGACAAGCTGATGGAAGAGCTTTCCACCAAAGATGGTGGAAAGGAGAGAACCGCTTCCTTTAATAGCAGAGCATCACCAGACAGGTCTGGCTACTCTCTTCACCTACACCCACGAGAGAATGCCCCAGAACAGCAGAGGGAGCGGCAGGCAGCTGAAAAGAGGAACAGACAACCACTTAATTGAGGTGTTCTGCCAAAACACTACTGGTTGAGCTGTGTCATCACTGGCGTTATTACCACATGTCATTGGGAAATGGTTCATTCCAATTGGGCAGCAGCAGTGGTGCTACGGGGCCCAGAGCAGTGAGTCATGTTGTACAATGTCACCACCGCAGTGCAGGCAGGATCAGCGCCGTCCCACAGCACGAGTGAGATTTTAACCAAACAAATCACAGCCTTTTCTAATGACCCAGACAAGGTACTATTTAATTGAAATCACTCAAACACTCCCAGTCTGAATGGAAACTCTTACAGAAGAGTAAGGCTTCACCATGCAACCTCTCATTCACTGCGTGCCAAAGATCTGCAAGGCAAAGCAGAAAGGCAAGCTCCTCCAAAGCCCTGGGCTTTGTAATTCTGCAAGAAATATAAACTTGATAACTACATTAACAAAGGCTCACATCATTAATTTTCTTACTATGAGCATTAAGGAATGAACGCCCCGTACCACGAATGTCACCCTATTCTGAGCAGCTTCTGCAGCCAAACTTTTTTTTCCCCAAAACCATACAGGTTCAAAATGATATCAGTACCCAATTGTGCAGACAGTGAGGTCCAGGATGTTAGTATGTGTAGTTATAAATTGACAATAGTTGGAAACTACATGATATAACAGTAGCCAAAATGAGATACAAGGATTACGTGAACTTTTCTATTTGTTTGTCATTCTTAGCTGTTTGTAAATTATAAATATAATTTATGTATATATATACATACACATATACATACATACAGTAAAAAAGGCTTTGTTATCGTGTGCTAGCCTCTCTTCACTATGTAAGGGAAGGATCTGAAACAAAAGCAATCTAAGGAGAAAATATGCAATGTATTAAATTCAGAGTGCAAAATGCTCTTTCACAGCTCTGATAGGTAGTAGCACGTTTCTCAGTCAACAGCTATTAATTCTAACAGTTATTCAAACTCCAAAGAATAAAAGGGAGCTGGTAACCAATCCAAAAGCAGAAAAAACTTTCATTTCAATTTTAGAGTAGAAATCCTCCTCTCTCTGGAAACCTTTCAGAAAGGCCGAACATTCTCTCAATGTAACACAGCAAAACACATCCCTTTTCACTCAGGAACACACTGTTTGAAGCCTTGCTGCTATTCTATGTCTGGAGAGAGGTGTTGGATTAAGCCTGGCAGCAGATATCCTACTGTGGAGACAGAGCCTGGCTCTACTAACACAAAGCACACGTTATTCAGCAAGAACTGACTGACTCAGTACATCTATTCAGAAATGGAATGCTACTTGCTTGCATAAAGACCTTTAAGGCAGTTGTTGGTTTTTGGGGGTTTTTTTTGTTTGTTCATTTTTTTTTTTTAAAGAACAGCAAGGGGAGTGAGCACCAGCACATCTGCAGACCTGCCAGCACTCAAAGATCAAAGATGGATGTGCCAGAACCCTGAGCATGTGGCAGCTATCTGTAGATGCCTGGCGGTGATTTGTCTGGGTGGCCGAGATGCTAAGCAGCTCAGGACACAGACATCTGGCTGCTCCCTGCCAGACCAGGAAAGTTGGTGAACCCAGCACGGAGCCAGAGCTAAACCAGCACCAGGGAGCTGCCAGATCTCAGCGCTCAGTTTTATTGGACTGTAAACTTTCCTCAGCAACATTTCATGTGGAGCATATTGCACAGACTGGCCGCGTATCAAAGTGATCGCTCCCTTTATTAACACGCCCTGCCCATCAGCTCCGCCACCTGCAATCAGAACCACACCACACTAAAGAAGAAAGGCTGCATGGCTCTCCTTCCCCTGTCATTTACACGTTTCTACAAACCACAGCAGCCTAAGTGGCCCCTAATCTGTATATTAATATTGTTACTACCAAACAGCTACGCAGGCAGACAGCAGTAGAAGTAAATTCTCATGGAGATTTTTTTCCATAGTAACTTCCAACTAAAACGCTTAAACTGCAGCCTGGAGCAGAACAAGGAATTTTGTTTTCAGGTTCCCAAAAAAACTTGAAACAAAGTTCCTGTCTCTCACCTCTGCGTGAGAGCTGCACACTGATTTTAAAAATCACCCCAAATTGTAAAGCTGCAAACACATGGCTGAGAAAAATGAAGCCTCCCAGATTACATTTGCATTCAAAGAAGGACAGAAAAAGGCAAAGCTTAGCGTCAGCTACAGCCACATTTGCTGTGTGGCAAAGAGGTGGGATGCCAAAATTAAACAGCAGTAAGCATATTATCACCTCCTCAAGTGCATTAGAAAATATCTTTAGAATATTAAAAACTATTTTTGAAAAATAAATACAAATTAGAAAAAAAAAAAGCAAGAAACTAGCAAGACAGGCCAAAAACATGCTAAACAAGGAGCTTTTAAAGGACTGTTTTAAAATAACTCAGAAGAGCTGAAGGCATGCTAAGAGAGAGCCAGTTCTACAGACATACTGAGATAAATGATAAAAATGGCTGTTGCCTTTATATGAAACAGTCCTATACAGGTGAAAATATCAGAGCATGAGACTGCCAGAGCACCGCAGAAATGCTTTCCAATAACCAACTTTGCAGGTCTTGCAGACCTAAAAACTCGAGTAATCAAGCAAAGCCAGTATGTCCTAAAAACTCCATGTAAACAGCTCCAAGTGAACTTCATCACAACAGCTTGAACTAATATGCAAATATGCTGCTACACAGATAAGCAGCTGCAAATAAGGAACTATTGCTGAAGTCACGTAAGGGCTAGAAGAAAGTAATACCTTTAAACCTGTTTATGCTCTTGATGTTGGAAGTATTACAACATAATCTCAGACTGCTAAGAAAAGAGTCCTCACTGGGCAGCTAAGATACAGGCAAGAGGCTTGCTGATCCCCGAAACAAACAAACAAAATCCCCTGGAATTACTGCTGACAGTTTCTCCTCCCAAGAACAGTTCAATAAACAGGAAACAAGCAAACAAAAAGCCAACTCATTGTGATTACTACTTATAATGAGATGCCTGTGTTCCCAGGGTCTGGAACGAGATAGCTCTGAAACGCCTCTTCAGGGAAGCCTAGAGAAACGTGGCTTCAAAGCACCAACTCCATCTGATGCAAAAGCTGCACAGCGGAGGGAAGGCAGAGAACAAGGTGGGCCTTGGAAGGCCCCTTCCCACCAGGTCCTGGGGCAGGCAGGCAGCCGTGCAGCAGCAGCAGATTTCTGACCTCCAGGCAGCCGCACCATGCTGCTCTCATTTGCCAAAATAACAATCAATTAAGAATCAATTGACAACTCCATCAAAAAGCAGCAGAGGAGACCAGAGGACCAAGACAGCTGAGCAAGCAGGAAATTACTCAAGACCTCAAATATGGAATCGCAACAAAAGAAACCTCAGATACTGGACTTTCATAAGACGTCAACAATATGCATATACGCAGAAATTCAAAAGCCATTATCCACTCAATTTCCTCAGGGAGAGTGGGTTGGAACTATCATATAGCAGATGACATTTTCCTGAGGTGACAAAACCACACCACCTCTCTGCTGCTAATGCTGGGATTGGCAATAGCTATAAATAACGGCACCTCAGATTCACAGCTAGTTTTAAATCAATGCAGATGGACGAGGCAGAAACCCAAAGCCAAATCCCATAAGCTGTTCCATACCAGTGCAGCCATCCACAGATACAAATTCTCCACTCAGAGACACCGTCCAACAACAGCTGATGTTCTGTTTTTCCTAAAATTAAGCACAACTTCAGCACAAAGAACAAATCAGCCTTTGCCAGCATAGACAGTCCTTCAGAAAGTTCTTGAAAACCAGAAAAGTCATTTTTATCAGGAATGAACAAAAATAATTTCCAAAAACTGCCCACTGGAGACTGCTCTGGTAATCTAAAGCAGCTCAGCTCAACTCGTCTGCTCAGCAGCTGGCTGTACATTAAGCTGCTGTGGTTAATTTAAAATAGAAGTACTAATTGCATGCAAGTTCAACATACCTAAGACCTTCATAATGAAAGTGAGGACCCTCCCCTTTACAAGCATGTTTCATGTCCCAAGACCACCAGCAGCTAATAGCAAAGTAAAAACTGCTTGGAGCAGGCAGACCTTTGGAGCACACCTGGTAGACAGGCAGCCACATGTTGCACATAAGAAGTGCTCTAAAGTGGAAAGAAGCAGGAAACACAAAGGGAACACAAATGCAGAACATGCTCATGTTCTCTGTGTGGCTTCGCTCACCAGATACAGTACTTATGAGTGTATCTTCAACTATTCTCCTGCCTGAGGGTGCCTGATATGTAAAGTGAAGGACTAAGTTCAAATAAGAAAGAAAGAAATCTCTTAACAGAGAGATTTCGGATCTTGACTGAAAGCTTGAGGGAGGTGGGAGTAAACATTAACTAGATAAAAGCCACCTGCTAGGTGATTTGGTTGTTCCATCTTTATCATTTCAGAAAGAACTCAGAGCAATAGCACACTCTACAACAAGAGCATCAACGCATTCTTGCAAAAATACCAGCTCTAGACTAAACAGTCAGACAGAGAATAGAAAAACATCAGCAATTAGGACAATAAATTCTTTGTCAGATTTGCGAGAGCAGAATATTGGGCAAACAAACCTAACTTCTCTGGGTTTGCAAATCTCTCATTTTGCTCAATTATCTCAGGCCTGCCTGCCCAGTGCAGTTGCAACACAAGGCAAAGATTGTAACTGATTGCCTTTCTGCTTCTCAGTGGTCAAACAAGAGAAATGGGTAGAAAAAAAACTCCATCCCTGACTGCTAGCATCAGTAATTAATTTTTTATTCATGAGGTGAGATAATTAAAGTTAAGTTCAGAGTTTTTTCTTCTCCACAGCCCTAGCTTTGTTCTAAACATTACATTCTAGATATCTAGCTAGCACAGAAGTCAAGTAGTTCAGGTTAATATACAATCATATGTATCCAAAGGTCCAAATTCCAGATTCACCAAACTCTAAGCAGAGTGGGAAAAAGGCTTTCCTGCCACATTCTTGACAGTAAAAGCTTCAGCCTGAGGATTAATTGAAGCTCAGCTCATCCCATATAGCATCAACCTGTCTTGCTGTAATGATTAGCTCGTGGTCCTGTTCCTAACTGATTTATCATGTTAACCAGCTAAACAAAACTAGAAAAGAGATGACAAAAAAAGGATAACTGTTGATTAACTTAAAAGAGAAGAAAAAAAAGATCTTATATTTGGCTTTGATAATTCTATGCTCCAAGAAGCAACTTCCCATTAATTCCAAGCCTCACTTTACTCCAATTTGCTTCCTGCTTCTGAAAGTCTTAAAAACATACATCTTCAGCAGCAGCACCTAACACAGAAGAAAAGGCTTTAATGCTTTCCTAGCCACACCTCACAGAACTAAGTGGAAAAACAGACACAATGCAACTGATGAAGCAAAACAGTCTGAAATCAGCTTTCACACTGCAGCTGTTAGCACCCTTCACTGCATGCAGGCACAATCTGAACCCAAACTGCCCTGTTAGATTTCAGATGCTCTAGGAAAATCACACACAGCATTGAGATTTATTGAATGCAGTACTTACTCCATTTCTGCTCACTCAATAAACAGCTCTAGAATTATCCATCACAGGAATGACAAAGCACAATCACCTTAAATTCTCTGTATGTTTCAGAAAAGGAAAGCCAGGAGCACCAATGTCTCACCTCAATGTCAGGAACTCTCCCACCTGCAC